CAGAGACAAGTTTGCAATTATGACAAACCAGTATCGATGACGTAAATCCATACGGAAGAAACTGAGACACCTTTTTCCCACAAAAAAGAAAAGAAAGAACTAAAAAAAAACCTTTTGATGCAGCTCGAAAGCGACCTCGTCGTCTCTGTTATCTGAAATCAAACTGCTGACAGCATTGAAAACAGCTTTTTCATATAGCGTAGCTTGTTCCTGCCCAATTGGCAAATTTATTAACACACTAAAAGTCTAAATTTTCCCCTACCTTCCGTAGGAATTCAAGATAACAAGAGAGAACCCAAAAAAGAGAGAGAGAGAGAGAGAGAGAGAGAGAGAGAGAATCTAACCAAACGAGACTTAGCAGCTTGAATACGCGAAGGCAAACGAGAAGGATCAGCAGAACAGAGAAAATGAGCGGCCAAAATGTTAGCTAAAACGCAATCCCCATCATGGTCCACCGCTTCAAGAATCACCGATCTCTTCCTACCGTAACTTAACACCTTCACGGACCCCAAAAAAGCTCGCGTCAGAATTACATCAAACGCATGGTACGCATCAAGAAAAAGAGAACCCCTAGTAGGACACGAACCTGCTGGTAGTAGGCGTTGATGGCGGATACGCAGTCGTCCGACGAGGTGTTGACTCCGTATCCCCACGCGTCGAACTTCGCGCCCTCTCCTCCCATTCGCCGCTTTTTCTCCTCCTCCTCCTCCTACCTGATCCTATCGCCGAAAGGGCCTCGTCGCCGGTGGGTGCGAGCCGGGAAGTGAGCTCGCGAAGAAGAAAGAGGGGACAGGATCGTATCCTGCGACGAAAGGAATAGTCCCGAGCGTGTCGGATTCTCCAACGAAAGCTGCTTGCCTGAGCCTTATCGCTCCGGATTCGGACAAAAGTTGTCCTGGGATTTATTGGAAGTTCCTCGTGGGATTGTCACGCTATCATCCCGTGGAAATGTACGTGTCAAGTGTCGAACGAGATTTCGTCGATCGCTACAGCGCCATCTGTCCGTTTCAGCTCGGTTCTCTCTCTCTCTCTCTCTCTCTCTCTCCTGAAAGCATCGCTTCTTGCTTTTGGACATTATCCTATTGGCTAATTTGATTGCTTTGCTCATTAATTTCTGTATGGAATGGCATAGGACGCTTAAATCCAACGGGTTTTACGATCGAACGACAAGATTTATCTTTCTTCTTCTTTTTTTTTTTATCGGACGGCCATGAAAGTTTTCTAAGGATCCTTTGCTACCCCTTTGCTAGAAATGTTGACTGCGCATTGTGCAATTGCGTCACGTCACGTTCAATTAGGGATTGCACATCCCCAGGCAATATCTCTACCATGATCAAGCTATAAAATATAGGATTTACTCAATAAGTGTCTTGGAGGCATTGATTAAGCAACCAATAAAGGAGGTTTCGCGATTTTTAGTGTCCAAATTATTCTCGTGCAATGCGTAATTATGAGATACTACTTTGAAAATTGGGCTGTTCCAAATTTAGTATGAATAATGAGTACCCATGATCTTAAAATGTATTTCACGGCGCGTAACATTTTGAGTTTTTAGAATAAATTGGGAACTCAATCTGAACTTGATGTCAAAATCGGGACTCTCTAATTGGAATCGTCACGCCGTCTTTAAATCCATACTCAATCTAAATGGGGTTCATGGGTTGTTATTATTAGCGTTGGAAATAACAAGAACTGGGAGGGAAAGAAAACTATCAGTGGAACGTCGAAAAGTAACCAAAAAAAAAAAGAATTTAAATAAGATTTCGTTTATTTTGCGAAAAATCAATAATTTTAAAAATGTTTTTTCTAAAAATGATTATGTATATCTCTTAGAAAATGATTAAACGAAAAATATTTTCATCGTTCACGAAAATATTCAAACATAAATTGTTGTCAATAATAAAAATATTTTCTATTAACTAATTATTTCAAAAGATATAAGTAATCAATTTTTTTAAAAATATTTTTCGCGAAATAAACGAAACCTAAGATAACAATATCGTCAATGACGGTGAGTTGTGGACCACAAACGGCTTTTCGCAGGTAATTTGCAACCCACGAGTTCTTTAAATTGTTGGGGAAAAATCAAAAGGTAGATACATGCATCATTTATTTTAAAAAAATATTTTCAAATCATCTATATTATTGTCTTTCAATTTCTCTAGCAGAGATTAGAGCTTTCTTGCTTCCTTGAGTTAATCCACCTTTGTAGGAATGATATATTATTGTTTTGCTGATGTGAAGAGCCTCTAGCTATGTGACTAGAGATGAACTATAGTGTATTCTCGATGATTAGAGGAAGTTTTTTTTTAGTGACCCCTGTTTTTTCTCGCGTTAGGTTTTTCATGTAAAATTTGTGTGTATTGTTTTTGCCTTACTTTAATTTGAAGCACTACATTTGCCACTTCAAGCTTGATATCGCCGAAATATTGTGACTGGTTGTTGTTGGATTCAATTTGATATTAGTTGGTTGAATTTTGGGGAAGATATTGATCCTAAACAGGTATAAGCAGTAAATTGTTACCCTTTCTCCCCAACACGAATCACTCGGTATTCTAGACACCGGAACAGACCCTAATCATGATACAATTGAATTAGCGTATCGAATTGTCTGATCGAAGCACAATTTAGTACGCCAAAGCTGTTTGGTAAATATAAGAATTCACTTGGTGTACTTTTCCTCTTTTCGCTTCAATGCAAATATCTATTTACTCTCTGGAATGAGGAAAGATTGCTCTGAAATCTGAAGTTATGCAAATCTAATTCTCCACCATGGTACCAACATCATCATTCCACATTCAACGGCGCGAGCAGCAAAACAATTGTCGTGGAAAAGCTCTTTTATGATTCCAAGTGCTCCACTCATGTCTTGATGCTTTCAAATTTCTGTGGCTCGATCGCCTTTTATTCTGGTGGAAGATCACGTTGGTCCGGTTTCTCTTTTCCAGAACTCAAGGAATCTGTTCGGATGCTTTTGATGGCAAATTCTACTCGGCGATAATCATCATCCGCAGGGACCAACGCTACCGGTCTCTGGACTTTTATGTAATGCGCAATGTCATTTCTAAAGTATATGTTAATTGATTGAATTAGATTCTTGAAGTTTGGTTTAACGTGCAAAATCGTTTTTTGAACTTTCAATTGGTTTGATTAAATCCTTCAACTATTCTATTTGAACCGTGCACCGCCAACTGGCAACGCTACAATCATTGGAGAATGAATTTCCGGCATGTGCTCATCACTCACGAAGGTACGACAATAAGTGATCGGCCACCAATTAATTTGGCTTGACAGATTCGTTTTTATGGAGTGAGTGTGTAATTAGCTCTGCAGGTGCTCCGTGAATCCTCCTCATTTTTTGGATTTGGCTTTGTTTTGCAGTATTCTAGACTTTCCTCCGTTTCGATTTGCTTTGCCTTGAAATTTATGTACTTCTCATATATCTTTTTGAGCAATGACCATAATGTTTTTTTACAAAAGAATTACGAAAGCAAATCACCCCATGTTAAAGTAAAAACTAACCGTGGCATTTAATCGTCCACGTGCTCGCAAAGCGTCTAGCTTTTCTCGAATTACGAGTTAGCTTAAAATTAGAGTAATTATTTACGAGGGGTGTCATTATCATGATCCTATGCATTGTTTCGACATTACCGAGGCGTATGGAATCAAACAATGCACGTTCGCGGGTGCAATGCATTCGATCCTCATTCACACCTACGACAGCGTGGCCTGCAATTCTTCGAACACACAGCGAATTTCAAGAAGAAGGTACGTCTCTGTGATTTTTGACAATATGTGTCATTAAGAGTTCACAGCATGATCACATGGAACGGTTTAAATCTTTCTCGGGGTTTGATTACTCATTACGCAATCAAATAAGGGAAGCTACAAGTTTTAATGTACTAATCGTAATTATTAGCCTCGAGTGCCAGCGCGATTTAATGGCATGTCATGGGATTTCCAATTCAGAAAATGGAGATCACATGTTCGAGTCGCGCCAAATGCGTGCGGACCGTTCTGGATCAAAGCTGCATGCATATGTTAACATGGGACTCGTTAAGTATTTAATGCTTTTGAAATCCTAAGATTTCCCTGATTAAAGTATTGTAAAAGATCAACTCATTGAGGATAGCCTCCCATAGCTCCTTACACGGTTGTACAATATCGTAAGTAGTTATATTCAGCTTTCCGCAATTAGTGGATCTTATACGCTCTCGTGAACAACGCTAGATGTTGAAGGGTACACTGGAATGCCATGGCACGTGAAATTATCTTGTGCTAAATAGTTGCTCTTGAGATTATGATATGAAAGTACACGCAAAAAAAAAACCATCATTTACATAGGCTCGCTACTTTATCCGGTATAAATTTTAGGAAGAATAGTAGTTCCGACCCTCAAGAAATTAATTAAGTAATCGACCGTTTGAATCGGATGGAACGCGTCTTTCATTTGAATAACCGCGTCTCCCGATCAAAATAGATTCATGTAAATTGATACTTACAATCACATATGAATAAGGTAACTTGCAAGCATTCGCATGAATTAGTAAAGGGGTAAGGTTTTAGTGCATCACGATATTAGACAAAGAAAAGTAGGGAGACGAGACCAGATTACAAAGCATCCATCGGGGAATATAGAAAAAGAGAGCCAACCTACCGAAAGTATAACCCAAAAAACGAAGGAATCCACACAACAAAGAGAGGAGAGCACATGCTCCTTCCCCTCGGACTTCCCTAACAAAAGCCAAGAACGATTGGCAAATCCGTGCAAACCGATCCTTGGATCCAGCGAAGTTCAGACGAAAGAAAAGGGCAAATCCCATAGAATTCCACACCAGCTGATGAATTGGGCTTTGCCCACACGCAACTCGCGGCTCCGGTATGTCCTCTCCAGCCTCAGTTCTTGGGCTTTAGTACTCTCTCGTTTCATAGAACATCTTTTATGATCTCGCAGTAGACTAAGGACGATCACTTAATCATTTCTCGAAAGTTCATTACGAGACAGGATTGCTCGATTGCGCTTTTAAGCTCCTTCCAATTCCCTTAAATAGAAGCAGCACTCCCAACTCCTCTCCCTCCTCTCACTCTCACACATTCAAAGCATACACCAAAAAAGAACATGAAGCAACTAAATCCCTCTCTTACTAAACTGATCATCCCCTTCTTCACCATCTCCGCCCTCTTCCTCATCCCCTCGACCTCCGCCCAGACCTGCCGGACCGCCTGTGGAAACCAGCCCATCCGCTACCCCTTCGGGAGTGGCCCGGGCTGTGGCGACCCCCGCTTCCAGGGCCGCATCACGTGCGACGAGGCGCAGCAGATGCTCACCCTAACCACCCACACGGGGTGCTACCCCATCACCGCCATCGACTACGCCGCGCAGGTCATCTACATCTCCGACCCAACCATGTCCACGTGCGTGTGCTCCCAAAGCAGCCGCGGCTTCGGCCTTGACTGGGATGCCCCCTTCTCCATCCACGAGAACACGATCTTCGCCCTCCTCGACTGCTCCACCTCCGCCTCCCCCATATACAGCCCCGCCGCCCCGGGGAATTCCTCCTTCTCCTCCTCCCCGCTCTGCGACGCTGCGGGCACTTCCATATGCAGCTTCCTCTACTCGTGCCACGCCATAAGCATGATGAACCAGCCTATCTCCACGTGCTGCGTGTACACGCCCGTCGACCTCGGGCCAGCCTATGAGATGGACCTCGGCAAGCTCAAGTGCAGCTCGTACTCGGGGTTCTACAGCTTCGACGGGCAGGAGGTGGACCCCGACCGGTGGAAGTACGGGGTTGCGCTCAAGTACAAGTTCAACGTGTACAACGAGTACCCAAGCTCGTGCGCCAAGTGCGAGAGGAGCGGCGGAGCTTGCGGCTATGGCGGGGCTTATGGCACGTTCGTGTGCAGTTGCCCCGACGGCGGGCTGAACACCACCTCAGATTGCTTCTTCGGCGCGTCCTGGAGTGAAACTTCCGGGCACATTCCTGCTCCGCACACAGGTTAGCGCAGCGCAAACTAAACCTCATCGGAACTTATTTTAGTAAAACGACGGCCGGTCTACTGAACTAATTTACCATGGGATATGGATTAGAGCAAATTTACATGAGGTGATGAGATATATTGAACACCTAAATTGATGGTGACACAATGTTTTATAAATTAACTTTAGTATAGGGGGAATTTTCTCCTCGGAGAAATAGACAAACTGACCTCACACAAAATTTATAAAATGGGTCTCCGCTAGAATGATTCCCTCAAAAAGAGATTGATCGCACTCGTTTGCTAGATGATTATAGTCGATGAGCAATGCTTGGAATCTAAATCTAGTTTACAAAGTTTGTATACTAATGATGTGACAATTCTACAAGTGGTCGATTAAATAAATGGGTCATATTCAACGACTTATAACAGTTTGCTGCTTCGTTCAGAATATGAAATTTTGGAAACCAGACTTAGCAAACGTAGTATTTCTATCCGATCAAAAAAAAAAAACGTAGTATTTCTACAGTATATCTTTTCTTTTTTCGATTCGGCTGTTGTTTAAACAGGTTCTTGATATCTGCTAACTTCGGCTTCAGGAACATGGGCTTCGCTTCGCTCAGTGGTCTCCATTTTGTCGCTGGTCATGATCAGAGCGCCATAAAACCATCGGAGGAGCTCATAATAAGGCATCCGATCTCGGCTTATGCTTCACGTGGAGAAGCTCATGATTCTTCGATCGCAAGAAACTGATGTTTGCTCCCGCGATGAATCGTGTAAAGAAAACCAAGTTAATCGCTCACTGATAAATGAACTATGGAAAGACAAGCGATAGCCTCTCTATTCCCTCTTTTTCTTCTTCCTCCCTACCTACAATGATCTCCGCATGGCCAAGGAGCTGGAAATGGTTTTCTACTTCCATACACGATTCGCAAACCGGAGTCACCTCGGTCGTTGATTTCTACCCTCGAAACGAAAGGAAAACGTAAAGCTTTCCTATCTCATCTCTTTCGAGTCTCGCATCGGCATTGTAACTACAAATTAGTTAGAAGGGGTGGCCCGGGTGGACAACTCCTCGAGGTAGGGTCAAGAATGGGCCCGGAACCGGCGTGGTTGGTATGATCCGATCCGATCCAGTTCGTGAGAGAGCCGATTCGCTTCCCCTTTTCTGAGAGCTTTGGGACTGGCCTCGAATGGTGCCCAGAGACCGGCTCTAACACGGCCGGTTTCGGGGTAAAACCAGCCCGGAATCCAGGACTTCTAGGGGCACTATCGGCCGTTGTTTCAAAGCTGAATTTATTCTAGTTAAAGCTAACCGGCTTCTAAAGCTAGACAGTATCAAAGAATTCTCCTAGGCCACTTAGAGAGAGCAATATGATATCCCATCGAACATGATTCCGGGAATTGGGAGGCGTTACGCTTCATGCCCACTGAAAACGGAATCACTTTCATTCTAGAGGTTCGCCTAGGGCCAAGAAAATAGCATTTTGCCCCATATTAGCTAGCTCTTTCATTGATTAATACCTTGATTACGTGTCGTAGAGAATATCTCTCACATGACCTGGGACGGACCTACATGTTTATTGTGTAGAAGCAGCGACTTTTCTAGAACTTACGAAAAAATCTCAAATTATGTCCATTATAATATATTTATCTTGTACTTTTTTTTTTGTAACATCAAAAATCTCAAATTATGCCCACTGTGACACATTTACCCTAAACTTTTTCTTGTGATATAAAAAACCCCAAATTTGTACCTATGTGATGCATTTATTCTCTGCCAAGGTTCCGTTAGATGATTTTTCTAACCAAAACGTCGTTTTTATTTCACTTAAGTCACATAGATGCCATGTCAACACCGTGTGCTTTCTGGCATTTATGTAGGCAGATTTTTAATGGTCATCATTGACAGAACTTTGACGGAGGATAAATGTATCACACGGGTATTCGTGGAAAAATTACCAAAGCAGTCCTAAACCTATTGTAATTGTTCTAATTCAGTCATAAACATTTTTTTTGTGTCAGTTTAGTCCTAAATATTTTGCATTTGTGCCAATTTAGTCCACCCGGCCAATTTTGGCCAACTGGCACTGACGTGGACGCCGTCTAGCCAATACTGACATGACAACTTTTTAATAGTATTTTTTTTTTTGGAATTTTTTATTAATTTTTCTTTTCTTTTCATTTTCCTTTCCTTTGCTTTTTCCCTTTCTTTTTGTTTTTTCCTTCATCTTTATCTTCAACCTCTGGCCGGTCGTTAGCAAGGCTCGCCGGTCGTTGGCAAGGCTCGACCTCGCCGTCGTTGTGTAAGGCCGAACTTGCCCGATCTGGAGAGGTCGGCCTCGCTGGCCCCTAGCGAGGTTCGACCTCGCCGTTGCCGGGCGAGGCCGACCTCGCCAATTGCCGGCGAGTTCGAGCTCGCCCGATCTGGCGAGGTCGAGTCTCGCCAGCGGCTGGTGGGGTCAACCTCGCTGGCCAGAGGTTGAAGATGAAGATGAAGGAAAAAACAAAAAGAAAGGGAAAAAGCAAAGGAAAGGAAAAAAATAATAATATTAAAAAAATTGCCACGTCAGCGTTGGCTAGACGGCCAACACGGATTAGCCAAAATTGGCCGGATGGACTGAAAATGTTTATGACTGAATTGGCACAATTGCAATAGGTTTAGAACTATTTTGGTAATTTTCCCCGGTATTCGTTGACCAATCGACTCCTACGCGCTAATGAAGAAACTTGTTTATAACAAACGTTCATCTTTGTCTATTATGCGTATTGTCCGTTACGTATAACTCACACGCGAAACCTCGAAAATTCGTTCCGACAAAACTATACTTCATAATTGAATTTCGTCAAACCCTACGGATCCACAACGTCCTAAGCCACTATTTCCACATAACTCCACAACTCAATAACTCCTCAATCGCATGGCCTAATTCCGGAAATCACTCCGATCAGACGAAAAATGGACTCGAATACTAACCAAGCGTCACAAAACGGAGTTGGGTTCGGTTTATCAAGACGTCCAAAACGATCACGCGTGAAATTTTTCCCTTGTTTTCTCCGCTGGCTTCAATGCTTCATCTGTTGAAGAGGAAATAAAAGGGGGTTGGCTTGGGCGGGGCTGGGCCCATTATTACAGCTTGCACTCTCTAAGTCGGGCGATTTCAGCCGTCGCCGGCGGGGGAGCTCGAACATGTGCATCCGCAGTCCGCGAATCGGGTTACACCGATCGTCGGACTCGATCGATTGGGCTGGGTTCACACTTGATAAGGAAGCGCTCGCGCGGCCAATTTACCAGCGGGGGCCGACGATGGAGAGGGACGTTCGAGCCGACAGCGAGGAGGGCATTATGGCAGCAGTTGGCGGTGTTTTAAGTGCGAGAGACGAAAGTTGTCTCCAACGAATAACTACCTTAGTTTTGCCACGTGAAGCTAGGTAATCGATTGGGACTTGGCCTCGGGGAGCCTCCTTGCATGATCCGAGCAACAACTAACACAACACTGGCCCGATCGTCACGATCGTCACCGTCCCCCGTCGACATTCTGGTCGTGCCCACCGATCGGCCCGTATCAGGTACGGCGCCATGGACCCCCCCCCACGAGAAGGTAGGGAAGTTTCCTTTTGGGTTTGCCGGGAGATGTTCCGCATAAATTCACTCGTTTATGAACACGGTCAATCACTCATCTTATTGTTACAGCGCGCGTTTGATTCATGTTAATCTAATGCGTGAGGGTCGTTAGATTCAATGTGATTCGCATGAGACTCCCACGAATTGATTGCTCCTATTTGGAACCGACATGAACTAGGTGCTTGCAAAAAGTATCCCGTTCACTGTACATGAGACATGCTGAATTCATGCTCTTTCTCAAAATGGCCTCGTCTCGATTCGAGTTGCGACGCTTCGTTAAAGCCAATGTTTTCAAAAATCTTGGCGGGTCGAATCGGATTTGATGCCCGACATGTGGTTTGATCCTTCGAAATCGGGCACCGACACTGGATCGGCACGAGGGCTGAAATGGCTCATCCTCAATTCAATGCCTTAAGTAGCAATTGATTTGATAAGTTGAAAGTGGGACAACGTTTTCTTGAGACCACCAATTGATGATGGGAGCTCCGAAGTTGAATTAAAGGCAAAACAGGGGACCTGTGTCAAGGCAAAGGCACAGAAAAATGATGTGAAAAGCTCTGCTTTTTTCGAGCACGACAAAAACCATTTAAGAAAAGGAGGGTTAAAAACCAATACCGCAACTCCCAAACATCAAAACGTAATATTCCCTTTTATGTGAATCATGCATAGAGAAGCAGATGAGAGACATCGCAGAGCTCAAAACAGGACAAGCCACTGGCGATTCCTACAAAGACACTAGATTTGCTCATTACCCTTTTGTTCCTTCTCCTCCATCCTCGGTTACACCATTTTGTTTTGTCCTCAACCATTGGAAATCCCCGCATGTCATTCTTGTCTCAACATACTAAATGTAATTCATAGGCTGTGTCTTCATACATATATATACATTAGCATTCGCACCATTGAACCAGCCCCAAGCAGAGATTAGCATAGAGCCTCGAGGACTTTGGGACTTTGGGGGTCTTTCTTCGGCAATCAATCAATCATGGTGGAGCCTGCGTTCCCGACGGTCGATCGGTGCGCGTCGATCGGGCGCGAGAAGGACACTGTGGTGGCCGACCTGGACGGGACCCTGCTCCGCGGCCGGAGTTCCTTCCCGTACTTCGCCCTCATCGCCTTTGAGGTCGGCGGGGCCCTGAGGCTCCTCCTCCTGCTCCTGGCCTCCCCGCTCGCCGCCCTCCTCTACTACTACTTGTCCGAGTCTGCGGGGATCCAGGTCCTCATCTTCGCGACATTTGCCGGGATGAGGGTGGCCGACATTGAGTCCGTGGCTCGCGCCGTGCTGCCCAAGTTCTATGCTAGCGACCTCCACCCGGAGTCGTGGCGGGTGTTCTCCGCCTGCGGGAGGAGGTGCGTGCTGACTGCGAACCCGAGGATCATGGTCGAGGGGTTCCTCAAGGACTTCTTGGGGGCCGACATGGTTTTGGGGACCGAGATACGGACCTACAAGGGGAGGGCCACGGGGTTCGTGAGCCCGCCGGGAGTGCTCGTGGGGAAGAAGAAGGCGGCCGCTCTTCGCAAAGCGTTCACGGATGAGCAACCAGAGATCGGCCTCGGCGATCGACAAACCGATGTCCCCTTCATGGCCTTGTGCAAGGTCAGTATGATACAGTTAGGGATAGTAGTTATTTTTGGCCAAAACATGCTATAGCAGTGATCATCGTTTTCACCTACCTGAAGGATCTATGGTATCATTAGTCTTCAGAAGCAGTAATAAACAGATTCCTTAGCTTTTTCCCAAGATCATTTCAGAAGCAAAATTGCAATGAGAGAAAGAAATCCACAATCATTCTCGTTGTGGTTTGACGTATCAAAACGAGAGGTAGGAAGCTAGAGACTAAACTTTCAAGGTCCACCCAATTGATCTATAAGCTAGGCACAAGTACTAAAACAGAAAGACAGTATTGGTCACCACAGCTTCAGATAGAAATGGAAATCTCGTTGTTAATTTCATGGCAAAAACACAGACAGAAATTAGTTAAAATGTTTAGATGGCGAAATTGGGGCGGCGAATTATCTGTACTGGCTGCTTCATTAGCCTAATCGAAGATACCTTGCGCGACAAGTCTTGAATACCGATGGAACCAAAAAAAATTGCAGGAAGGATTCATTGTGCCACCCAAGCCGGAGGTCAAGGCTGTGACGAACGACAAGCTTCCGAAGTCAATTGTATTCCACGACGGGCGGCTCGTCCAGAAGCCAACCCCTCTCCTGGCCCTCCTCACCATCCTGTGGATCCCCATCGGCTTCCCCCTTGCCTGCCTGAGGATTGCCGCCGGGTCGCTCCTCCCGATGCCCCTCGTCTACTATGCGTTCTGGGCGCTCGGCGTCCGCGTCACTGTCAAGGGCACGCCTCCACCGCCGGCCAAGAAGTCAACCGGCCAGACGGGCGTGCTGTTCATCTGCTCCCACAGGACGCTCCTCGATCCGATCTTCCTCTCCACGGCACTTGGCCGCCCGATCCCTGCTGTCACCTACTCAGTGTCCAGGCTTTCCGAGGTCATCTCGCCCATCAAGACCGTCAGGCTCAGCCGGGACCGGGCCACCGACGCGGCCATGATCAAGAAGCTCCTGGAGGAAGGCGACCTGGCGCTATGCCCCGAGGGGACCACCTGCCGCGAGCCGTTCCTTCTCAGGTTCTCAGCCTTGTTTGCCGAACTGACCGACCAGCTCGTGCCGGTGGCGATGGTGAACCGGATGAGCATGTTCCACGGGACGACCGCCCGCGGATGGAAAGGGATGGACCCGTTCTACTTCTTCATGAACCCGAGCCCGGCCTATGAGGTGACCTTCTTGAACAAGTTGCCAATTGAGCTGACCTGCACAGCCGGGAAGACCAGCCACGAAGTGGCCAATTACATCCAGAGGACGATCGCCGCGACGCTCTCGTACGAGTGCACCAGCTTCACCCGGAAGGACAAGTACCGCGCGCTCGCCGGCAACGACGGAACGGTCGCCGAGAAGCCGAAGCTCCCTGCGAACAAAGTCATGGGGTGCTGACTTATTACTCTCCCCACTAAGACAATCTCACTTCTGATATCAAAGAGCAAGCAAGGAAACCGATGCATTTCAGCTTTTACCGACCGGGTCACGATGGACCCGTTATTTCTAGTTCGAAGTTTCGATTGCAGTGTTCTGTTTACCCGGAAAGCTTGGAATAAAATGTTAGGGAGAAATCTCCAAAGACATTCTTAGAATTCGAGGCGATTGCGAATATTACTCTTTTTTATCTTTGGTTACATGACAATATATTGCTAATATTTTGCTTTCGATATGTCAGTTGAGATGCTTATTGTTAGTTCTGGATAATGAGGACCTCCGCGTCCGTTCCCTAGCCGGTAAAAAAATTTAAAAAAAAAAAGAACTTATATAAATAGAATGAATTAAAAAATCATATTTTTATTTTAAAAAAAATAAGGTTAATACCATAAAAGAAACTTAAAATTGGTCACCCGTGACAAATTTACCCCGGACTAATTTTTTGACCATCAAAAACCCCAAACCGGTACACCTGTGACGAATTTACCCTCCGTTAGTTTTTGTTAAATTTTACTGTCAAATTGCCGAGCTTGATGGCACGTGACAGTTGACGGATGTATCGATTTAGGGTATTACCCCTCTATTTGTCGCAGGTGTACCGGTCTGGGATTTTTCGTGATATTAATCTAATTTAACGAAATATAACGGAGGGTTAATTTGTCACAAATGTACCGGTTTATGATTTTTGATGGTCCAGAAAATTAGTTTGGGGTAAATTTGCACACGGATTTACTCGTTTGGGAATTTTGGTAATCAAAAAATTTGTCTCGAGTAAATTTATCGCGGATGTATTAATTTGAGATTTTTCATAGTATTAACCTTAAAGAAATATTAAGACTTTTAAGTTTTTTTTTTTTTTGTTCCTCTCTGTTTCAAACTGCATGAAGTACCTGAAATATTCTTCCCATCTCTCCCTCTCCCTCCCCCTCTCCGCGCGCGCACGCCCCCGTCGTCTTCCCCGCGCTTCTCCGCCTCTCTCTCTCTCTCTGCGTTTCGAAAGCTCGATCCAGGACCATCCATGGCGATGACGATCGGGAGAGCACGCCTCCCTCGCCGAGCCATCTGAGAATCCCGACCGCCCGCCCGAGCACCGGAAGGAACGATCCGGCTCCGGGGAAGCGACCATGTCCTCCTCCCTCTCCGCGGCGTCCTTCTCCTCCAGCCGGGGCGGCGACTCGGCGGATTTCGACGCCGACCTGACCCTGAACGACAGGCTCAAGGCCTTCAAGTCCTCGCGCTTCGATCCCCACGCCTACTTCACCTCCAAGTGCCAGACCATGAACGAGAAGGTACCGGTCGCTTTCTTCCCCCCTCCCCGTGCGCGAACGTGTGCGGACCGATCGATCGGCGGCGAAACTTTTGGAGATCGATGTGACGGCGATCTCCGCCGATCGCGAATTTTTTTTTTTGAGCGCCGCGTGCATTGTTTTTTTGTAGGAGATTAGGCATCTGTGCGCTTACCTGGTGGATTTGAAGACGGCATCGGCGGAGGAAATGCGTAAGAGTGTTTATGCTAACTATGCAGATTTCATACGGTTAGTGGAGTTTCGTTTGAATTTGTACGTTCTGAGTTCCATGAGGAAAACGTCGTAACTTAGATGCCGAGAGTCAGCTTTCTCGCTTTTTTTTTTTTTGAAGACGATCTCGCGTTCGTGCTCGCTTGTATTCGGCTTTCCTCTCTGATATTCTGTACGCTAATAACGACTGAAACGCTATGTTTCCTCAGTCATTTACAGTGCATTGTTGCAATCCATGCATCAGAAACTGGAATGTGGTCGTAGTTTGTTGAAAATGAATGGAACGGATATGTTGATGCGGCACGACATGTACCGGAGTTATCATTTTAAGGCATTCGACATTTCATTTGCTTGTTTGATTTCTTCTATATGCAGCACATCCCAGGAGATATCAGACCTTGAGGGGCAGCTCCTGTCCATGAGGAATCTTCTATCCTCTCAAGCAGCTTTAGTCCAGGAATTGGTCGAGGGGGTTCGTGTCGATTCTCTAGACACTGGTTCTGAAGATTCAACTGCAGAGGATATGCACAATTTGGAAGACACGCGACCTTCCAACATGGAGAACTGGTTAATAGATTTTGTGGATACCCTCGAAATTCTATTAGCTGAGAGGAGGGTGGAAGAAGCCTTGGCTGCCGTGAATGAAGGAGAAAGGATCAAAGAAGAAGCTAATAGTAGGAGGACATTGAGTCCAGCTGCACTATTATCGCTGGAGACCGCCATAACAGAACAGAGACAAAAACTAGCTGATCAACTAGCAGAAATGACTTCCCAGCTTTCAACACAAGGAGTTGAACTGCGTTCGACAATTCTGGCTCTGAAAAAACTTGGGGATGGTCCTCGTGCCCATACACTGCTATTGAACTCTCACCAACAGAAAATGCAGTGCAGAATGCAAAGTCTTCGCTCATCTAATGCTCCATACGGAGGAGCTTACACGGCTGCCCTTTCTCAGCTTGTCTTTTCAACCATTGCCCAAGCAGCTAGTGATGCCTCGGTTGTTTTTGGTGAGGAACCTGCATTTGCATCTGAGCTTGTGACTTGGGCTGTCAAGGAAACCGAAGCCATGGCTCTTCTTCTAAAGAGGCATGTCCTTGCCTCATCGGCAGCTGCAGGTGGCTTAAGAGCTGCTGCTGAGTGTGTTAAGATATGTCTGGGTCATTGTTCTGTTTTAGAGGCTCGTGGTCTGGCCCTTTCTCCTGTTCTACTCAGATTCTTTAAGCCTTGTGTCGAACAAGCTTTGAATGCCAACTTGAGAAGAATAGAGCAGAGCAGTGCTGCATTAGCTGCTGCAGATGATTGGTCACTTGATTATTCTCCACTTGGCGGACGGCCGATGCGTGTTTCTTCTTCCACGCTCCTCAGTAGTAGTACAGTCGCAGTGCATCCAAAACTCTCAAGCAGTGCAAACAAATTAAATACAATGGTTCAGGTTAACTCCTCTTTCCATTCAAGTCTAGAGGCTGCTTTCTTTGAAGGCAATTTCCCTGTATTTTTTTATCATCTTGCCATCCCACCGTGCTACACATTTCTAGATTTGCTTGAAAAGCTAAAGGATCTTGTGCTATCTTTTTTCTTCAGCAGCAGATTGTTATTATTGCCTCTCCTTGTAGCATCTCTCGGGAGTTCTGCTTCAATTAGAAAGTGATGAATCAACTCCTTGCATCATAAGTCATCATTGAAGCATTGATTTTTGTCTCCATTACTTAATAAAAATGCCTCCGATGGTCTTGCCTCTACCACACAGGAATTTCTTGAGGATGTCAGTCCACTCGAAAGCTTGCATTTAGAAGGTTCCACGTTGGAAGGTCTGCTACAAGTATTCAACTCGTATGTCCATTTGTTGATAAATGCATTACCAGGGTCAGCAGAACACGAAGAAAACCTTGAACATTCTGGCAGTAGAATTGTGAAAATGGCGGAGACTGAAAGCCAACAGTTAGCTTTGTTGGCCAATGCATCATTATTGGCGGACGAGTTGCTCCCACGTGCTGCCATGAAGCTATTATCCTTGCATAGTACGAACAAACTTGAGGACCATGCAAGAAGAACTCCAGATAAGCAAAGTCGTTATCCTGAACAAAGGGATTGGAAGAGGCGGTTGCAACGTTCAGTTGATAGGTTGCGTGATAGCTTCTGCCGCCAACACGCCCTTGATTTAATTTTTTCAGAAGAAGGCGACATCCGTCTCAATGCACATATGTACATCATGATTGATGACCTTATGGAAGAACCTGAATGGTTTCCTTCTCCAATATATCAGGTAAAGCAGTGCAGTTTGTATCCTTTAGATAGTCGTTTAACTGAAGCAGCAATGCAGTGCAGTTTGCTTCTTATCAGTGTTGTGAAACTGAGGTTTGATGCCCCAGGATGAGTTTGCATTAAACATAATAAGAAAATAACGGACATATCTTGTTTATTGTCTAATGATATCCACTTGGACATGATTTTCAGTGGCTGATTTGATTCAATGAGCATTACTCCATGCCAGACCATTGATATTTCTTTGACACTGAAATATAGTGAACTAGATTTGTATATCAGAAACTGAGGCTCTATTACCTGAAAAACCTAATAAATGAATGCCACCTGTTTGTTTCTGATTTTGCTTTGTGATCTCACTTTGCAACTTTGAAATCTGCTTCATGTAAATGCTTCGTGAAGCAATTGTCTTCGTGCTTTTGTTTATATTTTAAGGTCATGTTTGTATCAAAGCCTTACAGCAGCAATAACATCACCAAGTAAGATCACTACATATGAGTTCTCAGCCTGCGGACATGGCTATCATTACCAACTTCCTTATTGCTATAGTTCTTGTATATTGGTATCTAAGCATCCAGTCCGTTTGATTCGGTGTGTAGCCGATCTGTAATTGATGTTTGAGTGGCCCGTGTTTGATTTTCATCAAAAGTTTCTTTTGCTATGTTCACATGTCTTTTGGTTTTTCCCAATATGTTCAGGAACTTTTTGCGAAACTGACTCGAGTGGCTGGCTTTGCAACCGAAATGTTTGTGGGTCGAGAAAGATTTGCTACTATATTGTTGATGAGACTCACAGAGACAGTCATTTTGTGGCTCTCTGATGATCGGAGCTTTTGGGAAGAGATAGAAGAGGGTCCCAAGACATTGGGTCCTTATGGCCTTCGACAGGTTTGTATAAGAACTACGGTTTCCCGCACCTTAACATTTTGTCCAATTAGTTAAAAGTAACCATGCTCTAGTCATGCAGCTTTATTTGGACATGGAGTTCGTGATTCTGTTTTCATCACAAGGCCGTTATTTATCTCGGAATCTGCATCAAGTTATCAAAAACATAATTGAGAGAGCTATTGACATAGTGGCTTCTACTGGATTAGATCCGTATAGGTAACGCTCTTACTGCAATTAGCGAAGAGTATTTGACAATCAGAACATCGTTGCAATCCATTCCGAGTCATGGAAATGGTTTTCTGACATGTTTTCCGAACATCTTTATGAATTATCCTCTTGATCGCTCTCTCATTAGTTACTGTGATTGTTTTTATAGTGTGCTGCCGGAGGATGAGTGGTTCGCCGACGTCGCTCAGATAGCGATAAAGATGTTGACCGGCAAAGCGAACTTCGCAAACGTGGATCGAGATGTCACTAGCCCCAGCGCATCTGTATCAGCGAAATCAATTTCGTCGATTGTATCTCATGGAAGTAACTAGCTTCTGCAATCTATCAAGGTATCACGCTTTCTTGTTTTGCTTCATCTCCTAATCAAGTGGCCTTGATCACCCATGCATATCAGAGTCTCACGCAATGAGCGGACAAGCGTGTTCCTACAGAGAGAGAGAGAGAAAGAGATCACTTAACAATATCGAATTTGTTCCTCGTAGGGGTAACTCTCAAGTTTGAAGTGGAGAACGAGGTGCGGAGAAGAAACAAGAAGATCGAAGCTTCGAAGTTTTGAGCATTAGGAAGGATGCATGGGCCTCGTCATCGTTTTGGATCTTTTGGCTATTTTATTTTATTTTTTTCACTATCATCGCGAGATTTTCTTTTTCTGCTTCATTTCTGTTCATTTCGTACGGTTTCTTCGAGACTAGCGAATCGAACAATAAGATCCAGCTTAGGAAGTAGTGAAGGATGTACAGAACGGTATTGTTTCGTAGATAAAGCCGAGGAGCCGAACAAGGGGCACGAGACGAGGGGAAAATAAAGAGTTTGTTTTGCGGGCTCGGCACGTTTCCAAGAATTTGCTGCCCGTAAAATGGTCATCGGGAAACAATTTTCTGTAGAGAGCACTAGAAGTTGGAGAGAGGAATGAAAAATACATCAGTAAACAAATAAAGACAATGTGGATGATTGTGTATCATCGGTGGCCTATGACCTCAATCGGTCTTGGCGTTGTTACTTGTGTTTCTCTAAGGTCGTGTTTGCAGGGTAAAGAAGGAAGTTATGAAAAAGGCTACGAGTGCGAAGGCAAATAGTGTCACATGACTCACTGTTTGGATGGTAAAAACCTGTCTAGTCCGCGGCTCATGGCATCACGACCACATAACCTCGCCTTTGTGAGTACTTGCGAACAAATGGGTGAGAGAAAGCTAAGTCCTTGTTGTGAGTTCCTGATGATTGAGAACGCATTGCCGGTCCTTTACCTTCATTCTACCCCATGAACGGAAAGACTCGAGTCTCCCGAGGGGCAAAAAAGCGTTTGTGAACTCGAGATTTCTCGACTTGGACATGGTGTAGATGCGAACACAACACGAGCCACCTCACTCGGGACTTGGTAGCGGGGAGGAAGATTCTCAGACGGTAAACAGGAAAGATTAAGAAAATCAGCTTTTCTTATTAGTTGGAAACTTATGCCGGAGGGACAAGACTTCTGAGAGTCTCGCGACATTCAATAAAATTTATGGGTTAAACGGGATCTTGAATTTGACTTAACCCCAGTCGTTGATAATTCTTGTAGTCAATTCCGTTTAGTCTGACACAGCATAATATCTGCTCTGGCAACTCTTCAGCCTTGTTCCCCTGTTTCAGGACACATAACCGACAGTTTTCAGAAACCCGGAAAGAAATGGAACACATAGTATGAAGGAATAACACAGTAGCGAATTTACTGCAGAGAAATGAACTTGCCTGAATTGTGAGGCCGACGTCCAAGATGCAGAGCTTTAATCTATCTAGGAACGCTTCAAAACCTTTCCTAGAGATATAACTGAACCTATGCATATCCAGATCGATCTCCAAGTAATTTTCTCCCTGTACAATTTCGTTTTGCAGACAGCATGAGAAAGCATCCCAATAGGGAAACATTAGACATCTAAATTCTGTAGAACAGGGACACTAGATTTGCTGTAGAGAGCTTGCCGCGAGATTGCATACACATGGAACTCTCTGGCTTAATTCCTAAGAGCGAGCTTTCAAGAAAGACAGCAAGATGAAAAGTAGTGTACACACAGCCCGGAGAAACCGAGCATGTCAAAAAGAAGAAGTGTAGTTTGAGTCTTCCAGAGTATGCACTTCATTTAGAGGAAAGAGAAAGATAGAAAACTGCAGCTAATAATAAGATGCACGTATACCAATATAAAGTTCAGATAACCTAGACTGCCTTGGATATAATGTGTTACCCGTGACACGCAATAATGCTATCTAACCTTGACCTAAGCTCTGACCTGAGAAGAGGATATAACTAAGGGGAAAGGACATAAAACTTCAGGACAGTTGCTCTACATCAATCAGACAAGAGTGTCTGAAGAAACACACCAACGGTTCCATCTAAATATCAGAATCAGCATAGCTAGTTGCGAAAGGACTTACGGTGTAAAACGCGTGCTGCGGGCGTGAAAGAACTGGTTTTTCATTGTACGCCTGCATAAGCTTCCTCTCAGCTGCACTCAGGTGTAGATCTTCCACATTTGCAACACGACCCAATATCTTTAATCTTTCCCGGAAAGAGACGATAGAATCGACAGGAAAACTTCTGACCTTTTCGTCCTCATTATCTATTAACTTCTACTATGAGGAAATTGGAGATAAGACAAAAAAGAAAATGGTTAAAATCGATTAAACCTTTCAAAAAAGAGAAAGTCAATTGAAGCGTCCAGATGATTTTATCTGAACTTGAATTTAGAATAAATGTCTATACTGCACCAAAAGACTTTCGGGTTAATATACCTCTAATTATGCAGTGAATTTTGTTTTACCCAAAGTACTAGATAAAAGGCAGAAATATATTTTCTTTGCATATATCGCTGAAATAAATGCCTGAGCCAGACTTCAAAGGAAATAATAGTTAGAAACAGATTATACCAGCAAGACCTACTGAGAACAAAGAGCAGGCATGAGTCTCACCATAATACTTTCTTGAAATTGTGGTGAAAGCTCCTTTGCATAGTTATCCGAAAGCTTAAAGTATAACACAAAACTCATTCCTTCCCCATCAGTTTCACTCTGAAAAATTGCGGCTGGGTATAAGGGTATCTGTTTGAAAAAAAAGCTCCGTTACTTCTTTGACAAGAAACAAATGGCTATGCTATGACTGCAGGACAACAATGCAAATATGTGCTCAAAAGGCTCCATTAGTTCTTGCACACGAAAGAAATGGCAATCTCACGACCATAGAACCCAAGATATATTTTCCTAGAGCAAATAGCTCAATGGGTGAAGATGGCCGTGCTACAAAGCATTCCCCAAAGCCTTAACAAGGGGGTAGATATAAGTGACCCTCATGCATATGAAGGGTAGAGGTAATCAAGGGGGTCTAGGGAAAAATTAGCGGGAGTGAGAGCATTCCCTAGGAAAAGGTAAGGATACCTGAACGTTAACAACAAGGATGGGTGGGAGTTTCCCAAAAGAGCTGATAGCAGGGAGTTCCACACATTGAGCTATATGATCTATTTTGCGTTGAGTTAAGAATACATCAACCCCAAATGGATAATAGGCAGCGTGATTTGAAGCAGATTCTTTCTTCTTGTCCCTGCCACACAAGTCATCAATATAAATATAGTTAAATAAACCAAAGATCACCCATTGATCTAAGAAATTTCTTTAGCAATAACTGCATTTGCCTCAACAAGATGATTGCTTGACAGGTTGCTGCACCGCGAGTAGGATGGCATAAAATAACTAACGAAAGTGTCCTCGGGATGATGGTATCCGATACCTTCCACTTCTAAGTCTTACCTTAAATAATTCTCTCCTCGAACTTTAAAGGAACTTGGCTCAATAAGTGACCAACAATCAAGCATTTTCTTTTCAATTGGGCAAAATGGGACCTGGGAACCTGCTATGGGCCTCTGGAGAAGCATCTTTGACGAAACTGAAAACAAAAGAGAAATTGTTATAAGTCGAATAATTTAATTTTTCTCTATATACTAAAGATTACAATAACCACAATTGGTGAAAATAATCAGTGTCAAAAGAGACAAGTAAAACCCATAATCATTACAGCCAAAAAAACGACCTATCGTCACTCTATGGACCACTATAAGCGGAAACGCAAAACCTTTAATAGGAAATTGCAGTTGAAGTAGATTTTTTTAAAATTATATCCGAAAAGCAGGAACTTCAAAAGGGAATAATCTCCACAAAGATGCTAAAGATACTGCGCAGAATGCTTGATTATTTTTTGCTATGTCAAAAGAAGAAGAAGGTATCTGTACTCACAAAGAGTGCCATTATTGTGTGCTTCCTTCCATTTGAAGGAAAGTTTAGATGCAGACTTTTTTCTCGTGCTTGGTGGACTGGAGCTTAGTGATCTTCTTTTTTCAACAGACGGAGCGGTTGAAGCTAAACAAGGAAGACAATTGTTGGGTATGATTCCACAGTTATCCAGGAGTCCTTCCTCCTTTCCAGAATTTTCATCCACAGATGAGATATCGTCGAGAAAAACAGGTTTCTTAGCTTCACTTGGATGTTCACACGATTTATAATGGCTATCAGCATCATCCGAATTTGGGACATGATGTGCAGAGCTCTTAGCAACCTCGCCAACAGAGTTGTGGGCAGAGTTTCCAATTAACATATCGCCTGGTTTATGCACGTGATCTAGAGAAGACGCATGTTGTAAGCTGGTATTACTTTCTCCGTGCATGCATTCCCTTAGTGATACAGTGCTTTGTCTAGATACGCCTTCAAAGCCACTTAGAGACAGTATATCTGCAAAGCACAACGATAGAGCATCGGCCATTGGATGAAAGAACGATGTTGAATGCTACAACACGACTAAAACATGTCCATGCATCATACCATCTGCGACACTCTTGAAGTCTTCATCACAGTCTGACTCAAAAACTGCCACTGAGTCATACCATGCCTCATCAATGCTTCCTGCAGATACCACACAGGTATCATGATAATGATATAAAGGAGAAGACCCAGGAATAATCAAATCCTAAGCCCAAAAAAGGAGAAAAAAAATAACAAATGAATCCTTAAATCTGGGACCGAAATTGCTTCCCCCATAGAAAGGCAGTGAAATCAATATAAAACCAGCATACAAACACTAGACATGCAATCAAAGAGCAGAGAATGTTATAATGAGACATGAAAAGACATAAGATAAGGGACCGATAAAAATATTAGCTCATAAATCAAAACGAACAACGCGAACAAAGTCGCAGTCCACCTGGTGCCCCAGCGTAGAAGAACAAAAATGTAGACAGAGAAGAAGATGAAGAAAAGAAAATGCTCAAATAATAGCTAGGGAAGAAAGTAGTTTAGATGACCCAATAATGGTCCTTCCAAAAATGCTTTGACACTAGGGAAGAAAGGGAAATAAATTCCAAAAGTTCTTTAATACTATGGAAGAAAGTTATATTTGCTTCATACGAAAAGGACTTAAAGGGAAATAAATCAATCCAAAGCATTTTAAATCGTATCCTCTTTCCACATCTTTAGCCTTAAGATCAAGAAATTTCAACATCATGATTTCATGACAAATTTTGTTGTAAGTAGCTTAGACACAGTAAACAACAAAACTGACTACATAATATTCAATGGCGTCATTGATAATGCATTTGCAGATTCACTAGAGAGATAAAACCTAAAATGAGGTATTGCTGGAGATGGAAAAGACAGAGATAATTAAGAGAAAACACAACATTCGAAGTACTATTGAAATGTAAATGTGGAGAAAGACAACACTCATCATTTTCAGATGCAGATCCATGGAACTTCCAATCTCCTTATAATGATTTTTGGACCCACCTCTATCCCCGTCTTGCTTTTATAAGTAGATTGGGATATGCGTAATAGCCAGCAAGTTCTACTAATTCCAGTCATCAACATAGACCTAATTAGAGCAATCCAAAGGATTGATGGGAACATCATCTGTATTTGCTCTTGTTCCCCGTCTCTAAGATCTCACATTGGGAAATTCAAGAATCATTCCTTATTATCTGTCCCCTTTTACTGAAAGATCTCTATTATATTTTTAGTTACCTTTTACAATTGACATCCCACTTTCTTTTGGTCGGAATTCACATCCCACTTGGCATACAAAATATGAACTACAATTTTAGTTTTAGACCGAGACTTCTGCTGCTAGCCTAACAAAGGGCCATGTCTTTCCTTCTGAGTGGAAAACAACTTGCATATAATTCATACCGGTTACCACCCAGTGCTGTGAACTCACCATGACCATTTAATAATTCAAGGTTACGCTTATAACAACCAAAATACTTCGAGTTATGAACCAGTAGTTGTACTTAATTATGCCAGCAAGAGCGCAAGTGGATGGCACTAAAGCATTCCAAGTTTTAGCGAATCGACTCTAGACATTACTTTCATTATAGCAAACTCTTTCAAGAAAGCAGAAGCTCCTGTGCTATTTATGGCATTACAACAAGCGATAGCAAATTCAAGTTCAGGCCAAATAGAAGACTCGACAGGCAGTTTTGACAGAGAGCTGAGAGATCATTCAGATTCGACAGACGAAAGATTTGCAGAAGACGATTGAACTGATCAGTTCTCGGCTAACCTTCAGGCAGAGACTTCGACAATAATTTTTGTGTCATCCTTTTCATTCATGAGCAAGTAAAGACTCTACCAGCCGCTCACTGATATTCTCTTAGGAAAATCCGAGTCCAATTTCACACCATCAGGGGAGAATAATATTCTACAATCAATTAATCCGTGGCTTGATGTCCTACGCTACCAACTTAGCCCATAAACCCATTTTCTTTTTTCATAAAATACAATGTTCGATTGCCCAGAAGTCCTTACCAATTTTCTCCGTTATCATACATGAGAAGACGATGCTTGGAAGTCCCAATTATTGAGAGACAATCCACTCGTGCTTGAACAAATTTTATCCGATAGCTAATCGCCGATTGATTACTAGACTTGCATGCGGATCTAGTCAGGAAAACAAAAACCATCGAATCACTACGACATTCCCACACCAGCAAACCTTCTCCGAGCAAATAGATTTCACTCATGATAATAGGAGCCAATAACGCACTAAACTGGTGCCCGCCGCCCGAATCGCAACTCCCAGAGGCCACTCGCTTACTTTTCACCGCACACACAATTCACGGCGAAACATCGATCGCGTCCTAGCAGCTCCACAAACAGAGCTCAATCAATCCAAACCACTCCTCTTAATCGAGACCGTAAACCCGAACCAAAAATCACTTCCCACTTCAACAAGCCGACCGAAACAAACCGAATCCGGCACGAAAGCGCGAAGCCGATCGCCACAGTCCGGATTTCCAGAGCAATGCCGAACTCGAGAGCTCGCTTGCTCCGGTCAGAAATCACCTCATCTCATCCACATCAAAACTCAAACACTCCAGGAAAAAAAAATAAAAAAAAAGAGGAGAAAGAGAGAGAGAGAGAGAGAGAAACGGGGAGACGAAGACCAACCTTGGAAGCTAGGATTGTTGAAAGAGCGATCGCGAGGCCTGGACCGATCGATCCTGTCCAGCGATCCGTCGGACAGGCGCGTCGGGACTCGCCTCTTGACCTTCGCCCGCCGCACGCGAGCCTTCTTCCTCGACGACCTCGATCGCCCTCCCACGCACTCCTGAGGCGTCGACACGCACGCCCCCATCGTCTTCTCCCCCCGCTGTCTCTCTCCCTCCCTCTGGCGCTCGCGCTGCCGGCGGCGATCACCGCTGCGCGATCACCACATCGAGGCCTAGAGAGAGAAACGAAATGGTTCCGGAGGAGGAGCAGCAGCAGGAGCAGCAGCAGCTGGCGAATAATAATTTTTCTAGAGAGAGGGAGAGGGAGAGGGGGTGTGTTTCGTAACCGGACGAACTACCGTTGGATGGGCGGAGCTTTTTATTCCCGGAGGGGGGGGGGCATTTAACGCCAAGCGGAAGTCAATTTTGACCGAGAGAGAAAGAGGGACTCGCCCACTCGAGGCAGACGCAGTTGTGTCGCGCGGGGGCTCAGCATGGCTCCACACGTGGCGGCGCCTGATTAGCCCCCGCCGCGTGAAGGCTACCCCCGATTCATCATTATGGACGCGCATCATAAGGTAAAAAGAAGAAGTCAACAGTAATTGGTTCATGGGTTACGTGCAAATTCTTTTCCCTCTTCTCGGAATTCTTTAAATGACATTGCCGATCGTTCGTATCCAACGTGGCAGATTTAGGGAATGATTTTAGGGAGAAAGGGGGGGGGGGGGGAGAAGCAAATTCCTTCGGAAGTAAAGAAAATCTGATTTCTTAGTTGTATGAGAAGCAGGTTCACAAATGGACGGTAGCTTATAAGGGGCTTGTTATTGAAAAAAAAAAAAAAGCATCCCGTTCCTTGATTGTGACAGAGCCTATCGGGGCGCCATGCGATGTGACCAACACTGTTTATGTTGATCATCTCAATTCTCGATTGAGAAAACAAAATTCGGGATTATTTTTTTCCTCAATTTTTATGTAGCGCGAGAAGGGAAATTCCGACCTGACGTTATTGGGCCACCTTCTCCATTCCTTCCGCACTCTATTCTCGTTCTCAACAGCTCATATTCTTCCCCCCGCCCCCGTTTTCTTCATTAAACGCAGCGTACGTTTATTTCACGGACAACTCAAGGTTTGAAAAATACTTTTCAAAAAAATAATCATTCGCATCGCGTACAGAATTTAATGAATAAATAATATTTTCATTTCCACGAAAATAGCTAATTATAAATTGTCGTCGAATTTTTCTCGTCGGCTAATATTTCTAATCGATATAATTAACAATAGGCAGAGTTTTGATGCGAATTTTAGTCCTATCACGATGTGGTCGGCCGAAGCTGCACCGTTGGGTCGACTCGGCTTTCCGTGGTCTGCAGGTTCGGAGGTCAAGAGAAGGATCAGACAAATGATACAAGTGGGAAAAGAGAATTCCGGAGATCCGACGAATGGCGAGAGATGCTCCTCCATCGCTGGTCAGCTTTGGATCTCTCGTGTGTGTTGTCTTTTGTTGAATCGAGCGTTGGATGGACGCTGCCGGTCAGTTGTTGCTAAGCCCCCCCTCGAGGCGTGACTATGAAGGAATAGCAGATGGGAATTCGTTTAAACCAGAGGACATTGTCATTGTCATTGGACTTGGAATATTGGGCACTCGACGAATAAGCTTAATGGTCAGATATTTTCGAGCATGGCATTTTAGTATTGAATGGTTCGGCTTCTCGAGCGTGCACGTGGCATCCGTCAATTCTAGACGCGGGGTGTCCACATCGAATCAGGGAACAGAACGGGGGCGTCGGTTCTGAATACGACGAAGGTGTTTAGTAATAACGTGTGGAGAATGATCGCGCGTGGAAGAAAGAGTAAGGAAGGCACGATAAATTATGCGGCTCCAATGTCGTGTTATGAGGTCGAGGAAGAGAACATATGCGAGCGGTCCATTAAAAACTCGTACTTAACGCAACGGGGCGACACCTCCACACTCAACGCCAGATCGAGAACGATTCACATCCAGCTACAGACACTCGGCTTTTTGCAAAGAATAGTCTGGCAATTTTTCCACGTAAATAATTATGACGATCGCCCAGAATTTCAGACATGTTACTAGCCTTCGAGTTCGAGGTATCATGATGCGGTTTTTTTTCCGAATATATACTCGATAAATCAATGGCCTACCAGCTCCTCCATGGCCAGTTGTTGTTATGTCGTTAAAGACTAGAGAGGGTTGTGGGATATGGCCATCTTACCAAACCGTTTGAAAGTTTGAGTCCCTAACCAGTGGCCATGTCCTCCACAAGGCACGAGCCTTTGGCGTTAAGTAAACTAACGCTTAAATTCCGACCAAAAAAAAAACACTAATGCTTAAACGCCACGCCACCATAAGTCTCTTGTTTTGGCACATTGAGGTCCACGAGTTTGGCAAAAAAAGATAGAATCGAGAGATCGAGCCAAAACGCGAGTAAATCCAAAAGGGTCAACCCTTCCAAATCAAATCATACAAGAGCTATTCTTGCTGGGGGGAAAAGATCAGAGCAACTTGTGCAGATTCTTTATCCAAATTCTTGTTCTTTTGGCATCGAATTGTTCGCGGACAAACTTCAACGCGAGTATTATCCATACTTTTTTTCCCGATTTTAGATTTAAGGCGAAGGTTTAAAAGTGGGTTGTAATCCCAACGGGTAAGCAAATTCCAATCACCTTCATCTTGTCAAATCCAAAGTTTTACTTCGAGCGAAGACCATAGACGATAGCAACGATTACCACGTGGTGCACGCGAATTGGAGATTGGGGAACCGTTTCCGAGCCATCTCGTGTGAGAAAAAAGCTTTTTTTTCTCCAAGCCTGTGACGATGATGACGACGAACAAAAAGTTGGTAATTGCACACGCAATGGTCCGTGTGGACAAGTAGCGACGTTGTTGTTGGTGGTGGTAGTGGTGGCGGCTTTTGTTTTGGGTTGCGTGTCGAGCACCATCGTCAAAGGTTTGCCGCACCTTATTATTGGTACTGGTAGGCCCGATCGTGCGTTAGGGGGTTGAAATCGCCTTCCCTCGTGGGGGAATATTTTATTGCATGGATGCGATCCCCCCAACGAATTCGGTGAATTTCAGTGGTTGGGGAATGAGTTCCACGTCATTAGGTATGCAGACTCGAGTGCGCCGAGATTTGTCTCTAATTTGAGCTCGATTCTGATGAAGGCCGGACTCGAATTGATGCGCGGGATGGTTCGAATTGTAAATGCACGAATTCAAAATCGAGATGGGTATTCAAAGCATGGATAGTACCTATGAAAGTATCGAGCAACCTAGCAATGACGGGGCGACCCGTTATGACTAGTTGATCGCCCAATAATGGAGGCGGCCACTCAGCCCGCCATGGGCCTAGTTCAGGTGAGAGCTGAGGATGCATCTTTTCATCCGCGTTTCAAGCCTAACTGTAGCTCTAAGTCACAACCATTTGCGAATGCAATTCAATAAGGCTTTGTTTATTAGAAAATCAGCTAATCTTAAGAAAAAAAGTTTTAAAGACTCGTATATTACTTTAGTAGCATTAGGCCAAAACACGAAGAGTGCCTTTTTGGGTTTGCACGCTTGGTTTGATTTTAAGCCAATCAAAAACCCCATTTTGATTTGTTGTCTTATTTAAACAAAGTATCTTAACGTTAAAAACTGCGAGCAAGATTTGAGCTGGCTTTAAATGTCGTTCTCTACATATCTGGACATAGTCGAAATATACAACACAACAAAAGTTTGATTATCAATTCTAAAAAGCTATTATTTCGTTGGAAAATTTAAAGAAAAATCAAGAAACAAAAGCAAAAATCGCACCAAACGTTGAAAGATACAAAGAGAAGGGGACAAAAAAAGAAAGAGGGGGTCGTCCTCGCGCGAAGGAAAAGACGGCCCAGTGCCAAAAGCCAGCTGTTCCATGCCATAGCTCGTCTATGTTGGTCCTTTTCATTGTTCTCAATAAAGAAGAGAGTACAGTACAGCACTGTTTCCCCAACCACTCCCGCCATTAGTTCTCTGTCCTTGTTTCATCGTCTACATTGGTCCCTCCAAATAATTTGTAACGTCCGAAGTTGAAGCAGGTGTTGCTTTCTGTCCATTAGGCGTGTCGGATTGTCGGATTGCCCTGTGAAAATTGGTTGCTCAAAGCAAAGTGGGCTCCCTAATAGTGCTTGCCCCGTCCCCCAATTTCCCACGAATAAAGTTTGTGGAGTAGCGCCGAAAATCTTCTAATATCGCATAGTACTTTATCGGTGAATCTTACAAAGAAAGGCATCCATGTCTCGCACTAGGAGATTCACGCTTGAGTTTCAACACAACGAAGCGCACAAATTTCATTTGGTTTATTAACCTCATGCTCCACGTTAATGTTGCACTAAGGTGTGGGGTGGATAGAAAGTCCTTTTCCCCAATTGACCAATGCATTCGTCGCATCCCAATGCTGAGTTGCCAGCTACCCAGCCATTATGCTTTTCGGCCACCGGCGAAATACGCCAGCGGACAGTTCGATGGTATAAAATTTTCAAAATACTGATCACAGATATTTTGCTAAGTACAACTGATAGTAATTTAATAAGCGCCGTACGCATTAATGAAATCCAATAGAAAATTGAGTATGAAAAAGTAGAGTTCGATTTGCGAGGAGCTGCTTCCATTACTCCGGGAGGCGGGAGAATCGTCCGCTCAATAAAGACGGCCTTATTTAACTCCGATCGATGCGCTTTCTTCTTTTTCTTTTTGTGAAATCTAATCGATGCGCGGTAAAGACTTGGTCGCGAGGACCCAGGTGCCGAAGTTGCTATTAATTGTCCTGGCTTTAAATGAATTAATTCACCCCATTAAATTGTTTGACATCGCATCTATCACGGAATCACAGACCTCCCTCCATGAGTCGTTGTCTCAATTTCAGTCTCGGTTCCTTTTAGACTTGTGAGCCTCGCATCGCCTTGTGGACGACCCCACCACTTCCACACTTCCAATAGCATCTCCCTTTTATACGGAGACTCCTGCAAGATCGGGTTGAGAGTGAAAAAAAAGTAACGAGAGGACTGTTTCTGCCCCTTTCACGACCAACCCCACTTAATTCTTACTGGATAGATAAAACCGCCATCGATGGTTTCTATAATTGCACAATTTCGTTCAAATTTCGTATTTTCACCGATTGCTCTTATAGCAATTCATCCATTCTTTATCACTCCTGCCTATAAGGCTCGCTTCCATGGTGAATTTGTTATTTAATTAGTCTTGGAAAAAAAAATCTCTTTAAGAATAAAAAAAAAAATTTTCTATCAACACTTTTACCTGAAGCATGTAAGAAATTATAAGAGTATCTAAAAGTGAACCGAAAACAACAGCATAAATATTGAGACATCTTGATATATCTCTTTTCCATAAAAACCTATGAATGACACTGATTTATGTCAATCCAAAATGAATGATATTTGATTGTCATTTTAATTTTTTTAATTCATGCAAAGCTTTGATTTAATAAATTTTCATTTTTTAAAAGTTTCGCAATACGGAATATAATTGCGATTTTATTTTGACAAATCTTTTAAGAATTTTTTTTTTCTTATTTCATCTTATCATTCCATTATGTGTATATAAAAGACAATTGATAACAAAGAACTTGACAATGATATGCATGACCAAAATAAAATTTCACAAATATTTAACTGTGTCAAAAAGTCGTTTATGTTTACTTTTTTCTGAATTCTTCTTAATAATTAATCCATAAATTTGCTTGATAACGTGAAAAAGGACTAGTTTATTCTTAAAATTCTCTCTTAGGGAAAGCTAAAACCGCACCATAAAATCTATAAGAAAAATAAATAAAAAAAATTTGCTTTTATTATGCACGATAGCAACCCACTTAGAAATTATTGAAAAAAAAAAGAATATGTGATATTCTTAACTATTGCAAGTAGATCATACATAGAAATGGAAAAATCTAACAAAAAAAAAGGAGAAAGTGGTTAAATTTGGAGCCCACGACTTCATGACAAAATGTCTACTACTTTATTCGGATCTGAGAATCCTGCCGTGTCTTGTGCGCTTTTCTTGTGAAAAATGGACCATCAGATAAGCAACATCCACGCATATTCTGACCCTACTTAGGAAATTGCGCCTCTACCTGTTTCCCCTATAGGAAGTTTCAGTGAAGTTAAGGCTACACTGCTCGCAAGCTGAACTTCGAGCAAAGTAAAGAAAAAATTGCACGCGGGCTTCCATTTTCCACCGGTCGCGGTTCCCCGAAGGCGTTCTGAACGCGTCAAAGCTTTGCTCCTGAAATTCGGTACACTTCCATTACTCAGCAGACCGCCGATTGCATTGAGTAATAGAAAACGAAAAACGAGGAGGTAACCTTCTGAGGCTTCTGCTTGGGTTGTCGAGCACTCTGACTCCAAGAGGTGCGAAAACGTTCTATGGTTGTCCTACATTAAAGTTACGAAGTGAGCAAAGAGCCTTAGTAGTGGGGGGTTTTGAGATTCGCTTGGCCCAAGTTTTCTTGAATTGTTATACAACAACGTAAATAACTAAGCCTATTTTTTAGCCCAATTGGCTAAATGGATCCTTGGGCACCATTTCACTTTTCATTCTGTCATTTTTCACAAAATCCATGCATGTTTAGTTACCTAATTCAGCAAAATAAGTCACTCTCCTAACGCGGCGAGGCGGAAGAAATTGCATTATAATAGCCGCGCCCCTTAGAGCATCTCGCTGGTGTGTCAAATATGAGAATGCCATACCTTCTCATCATGGGTAGACATATTTCGAGCGTGATCCGCTGATTGAGGTCCCGAGCAGGCTGACTTTGTTGGAGAACAGGCAAACTGTCAGTAACATATCCAGATGACAGTTAGAAATTCATCTTTTGAAAGAAAAATGATAGGCTTGTCAACTCCCAAGCTATTTGCAATATATTACTTGCCTCAGAGGTGCGGGAGTTCAAGTGATTATCCTCCTGCAAGAGGTTCCGATATGAGTTATGCTTTTGACAACATGAGGATTCTGCATTCGGAGTAAACGTGAATATGTGGCAGCTGCCCATGGATTGAGGAATGACACACTCGACGCACATGCACACAAACATGTGGACCCACTTGCGCGTGTGCCCGCATAGAGCATGTAATGTACGCATGTTCCTTCACAGTAATTCAGACAGACCAAATAATTGAAAACACAAGGTTCATCTCCCGAAAATGCAACAGTTCTTTCATGAGAAATGTCACTGCTAATTGTTTGAAAGTTTCCCCATGGAGAAAACACACAAGCTTGATCACACCATGTGACTGGATTCTTTTATGCAGTAGACTAATGCCACCAACAAGAATGTCCAAATCAAAATGTTTTTTACCAATAAAAAAGGGATGCAGAAAGATACATCTCAAAGGATTTTATTTAAACATATCCAACCTAAATAGAAGGTGTTCGTGAAGGGAATAATTGAGTTTATCTCAGAAGACCATGAAAATTTGTAACACTTCGTTACCTACTACCTGGCTGCGGGTTACCCAATCTCGTACATTTCCTACACTCTTGTTATACTTCTCCGTCTAAATCTTGTCACTATCTTAGTACACGAGGAGCCAATGTAGAAAGGGGCACAGTGAACCTGAATTTGCCGCAGCACCTTCTCGACAACCCTCAATTGCAGATCTTGAATCAGTCATTTGAACATCTTCCTCAGTCCTAATATATAAAGATTAAATGTACAGCATAATGAAAATCTCTATCAGGAAAAAAAGAGCTAATGGAGCATCGTTGATTCGGACGCATCTCCTGCAGCCACTACTCAATCAATCCTACACCCCATTCCGGACACAATGTTTAAAGTACGAAAATCACTTCTTTGATATTAGGTCATTTGTAGCTATCTTTAACCCCCCCCTAATAGGGATGCATATTACATAAATCAGCATTGTTGCCAGATGCATAAAGAGAGAGGTAAGCGAGAGAAAATGGTGATGGGAGAACCAGAATGTCAAAACTACGTTACAGGCGAAATCAGCAAAGAGAAGAAGCACCTGATTACATATGCTCTGTAGACTATTCTTCTATGCATAAAGTAGCAGTAATTGGAATAAATATAAAGAGTGGTCAGTCTCCTCAGTCAATAGTTCTCAATCATCTCATGACTGATTGTATAGATTAAATCCTGCATCTATCAAGCCACAAACATCTACACTACTTGCTTATATTATTCTTGGCGAGTTAGTGCCTTTAGCAATATGGTCTCCAGATATTTCATCATTCGACGTGTGGAGATGTTCCTCTTACAACTAAAGACTTCTACAAGCTAAGAAAGATGCTACTATTAATTGTCATCCAGCTTTCTAAGCAATTAGATTCAAACCGAGGAACATGGGTTTTGATTGTAATAGCAATTTATTCTGGGAAAATATACCACAGAGAAAGCTGCCCTTGAAAACGAATGAAACTCCAGCGGAAATGTCAAGAGTCCGTAGATCTTACCCAGTGTTTTCATTTGGCGTAACCATATCAAAACTTTCTTTGTGTTCCGAAATTGATGAAAATCTGTTCTTGTCCTGGTAAATAGCCATTTCCATTCACAAAAAGGACAATACGAAATGAGTATAAATGTCGTTGAAATTTTGCAAGAATAGGAATACAGTAGTGTTCAGTAGCTAATCTATCAGAAGATTCTAAAGGCATGACAATGTGCTCTAGAGAGTAACACCAAAACTTCAACACAATAATAAACAAAGTTACTTGACTGATCAAGCATATCGACTACTTTCCCAAACATACTCCTTACTTTAAAGTTTAAACACCGTTGAGCCAAAATAATCACTCTGTTCACATTTTCTTGGTAAGTTCCATCTACTCATTGAGAAGAGAGAATTTGTGCAATTTTATGAGGTTCAGCTGCAAGATAAACATTCATAACGGCAGACATTGTGATCACGTGAGCATAGATGTATACGTCAGTTCAACTTTAAATAATAGACATATGAGATATAGTTGAGAACTCATGAGCAGCATTGGCAGAAAATGGACACAAATTAAGAAGTCAGTTTCCGGTATCTGACCTCCTCATTCATAATTTGAAAGGTGTCCTGAATCTTCTGCAGCACATTGGCCAAACTTCCTACTTCCAAGAGCAGTCCCTTTGATTTAGTATGTCAAGGAGGTCAGTACTAACAGGTAAAAATCAGAAACAACAATCAGCAGCTAAAGAAAATACCTTTTTCTCAGTAACCAAGTTTTGGATGACCACATCCTTCTCGAACAGGGCCTTTTGTAGGTAAGAAGATCAAATGAAAACAACCGTAACAAATACCTTCAGATGAAGGAACAATTTGAACCCTAGCAGATATCTTAATATAAATGAACAAATTAAATTCTGCGATGAATGAAACAGACAGATAGTGGATATCTCTTCCATCTGAGTCTGGTGACCGTTGCTAATTTTTGCAGCTTCCAATTGTTCTTCAAGCTGGGCAATGACTCCATCTTTCCTCTTCAGCTCCTCCTTGTCATTTTTAACCTTGTCTTCCAGATAATTAATCTTTTCTGTAAATCATGAAATATATTTCTTACAACAAACTGCTGAATCATGCTTTAGGATCATAGTTTCAATAAACAAGTAGTTAGTATTGCCATAGTTACATAAGGTCAATATTACTAGAATTCGTAGAGATAATAATGCCATAGCTTAAGAACCCGCTGCTGTACTTATTACAACTCTAAATATCTCTTACACTACCTTTGATTGTCTATAGATTGACACTTGGCTTTTGAAGCCAGCTTCCTTTAATAACCAGCATTGAAATATTCAACGTGTTTGGTGAATCAAAGAGCAGAAACTACCTATAAACAACTTCTCATAAGCACAGACCTCATTGACTTTGCTCTTCAAGCTGGATACTGTATGTAGCAAACAAATTTAGGATGGAAGAAAACGATGCTCGTGGAATGATAAGTTTTACAGTACTTAATAGATGGCCCTAAAGCAGTTAATATTCAGAAATACACGTGCCTAATTCCTCTTTGTGACTGATAAGGCCCTTCACACTATCCATCACTTGCTTGATGGAAAGTGCCTCCTTTTCTATCGAATCAAATAACATAATGTGAGAATTTAACTTCTCTGATAGCAGAGAAAGCTTTCTATCCCTGGTTTCTACGGAATGCCTCATTTCACAAGTTGACTCCTGCATATTGATGAATCAAACAAACTTCAGGATAAGTCAATTTTTGGTAAATCGGTCCAAGAGATTGAGAAGTAAACTTACGGAAATTGTTGAAGTCACTTATATAAATTACAAAAATCACCCGGAACTTCCATTCTGGCCATGGCATCATTTAGATAATCAGCCTAGACATTGCACCCTCAACATAGCAAGCCCAAATCAAAGTTCGCATTACCAATTTGGATTCAGATTATGAAATCCACTTGTTCCAGACGTTTCAATTAGCAGAATTACAACCTTATAACAGGACCACCCTGACTCACGTAATTATTGCATTTCACGCCGACTGTGTTCTATGGCTCAACTAGAAACTTCACATTCCCTAGAGTTGCAGAGAGTAGTCAAAGTGAAAGTCTGGGTGGTTTCTGCGTGATCTTCACCAATTAACGTACAACCAAAACCATATGTCTTGCTAACGTTGCCCCTAAAGACATGAACATGACGGCCAATGAGAGACTAAAAACCATTCTGAAAAATGCCATTTACAATTCCTAGCGATAGTTTCACGTACAAATCAATCGCATATTACCGCATATCAACCAGCTCTGCTTCTTAAAGCTCAGTCGCATTCACCCGGAAACTCATTATCAGCGTCAGAGTTGCAATCTTTTGCAAGGAAGGAAGCTTTGACAGGAAAAGAAAATGATACAAAAGTGCGGCCGACGGAATCAAACCCGGTAGGCATTTATGAAATCATCTCTCGACTGGAGTAGGTTCTGTATGGTCGCCTTGAGCTCTTTTTGCCTGTTCTCGAGCAAGGCGTTGTCGTCCCGGAGACGATTCATCTGCAGAGAATCACTTAAGCCGATGAACATTAGTTTTCCCGAGAGAAATCAACCGCGAAAAGGCTCTGGAAGAGAGATCGATCCACCTCCCGTTCGATCTTCTGGCGCATCTCGGCGGACGAAGCCAACTCGACCTGCAATTCCTGCAGCTTCCGACCGTGATCCTCGTCATTCTGCTTCTGTTTCTGCATTGTCGGAGCATCGAGATGAAATGTCAGACGGCGACCGGCGAATCGATTCGAAGGCTGGAGTTACGGTCGGACCTGAATCAGCGCGTGAAGTTGCTCGGTGGCCGATTGCTCCCGGTCCTGTAGATGTTCGAAGCGATTCGAGTCAGAGAGAGAGAGAGAGAGAGATGAAGATGAAGATGAAGATGATCGGAAGAAACTACAAATTTTACCCTGAGATCGCGAGCTTCGGTGACTAGGGCTCGCAGCTGGAGCTTGAACTTGGACAGTTTAAGCACCTCCATTTTCCCTCCAAAACTGTCGACCAAACAACACGAGGGAAGGGAGGCTGGAACTAGAAGAAGCGATGCGAGAACTCGACTCCAAAACGACCTCGTTCTTGGAGGGGCCTTCTCTATGCTTTCGTGGTTTGATACAAGGGCAAGATTTCCGAATATGACGCGGCTTGAGTACGTCTTGACTCGTGTATTCATTTGAAATAACGTAGTAAACGGGAATTAATATGAATTACAAACAAGAATAGGACAACCGCTAACACGAATTGTTCACTATTTACTTAAAATCCACCAATTTGATCTATACAATGTCAAATCTGCATTGGTAAAATTCGCCATTGTGGCAGTTCAATGGCGATGAGGAATACTTTTTAAAAGGTAAAAGAACGCTTTTTAAAAAAAATACGTAAACCACCAATGACATTATCCTATGTGGAAATGCTCTAATTGGGATTTTAAGCCTACGGCAATTCTTGATCGTGTGATATATTCTCAATAACTCGATTTGGGCTAACTTCAATTATACGATAGCACCTCCTCACTCTACCAAGTAGCATAATCCCCGATCTTTGTTCTCAACGGCAAGATTCAAGGAAATGACACGAGCTTTTTTTCTGGTCAGAAAAATGACACGGAATTTCACGGTTAAGAAAACCATAACTTGCGCATTTATCGGTTACTTTTGATTTTCACTTAATTTTTCTTCCTAATTTAAAAATCAACAATCGATTTTACTTAAAGGTTTTAAGTATGAATACAAGTTAAAGTGTGACTTTCGCGAAATTTACAAAAAATTCAGAGGTAACTCGGTTTAGACAAGTATGTTGCCGTTTTGTAATAGGCATTAGAATTTTCGACGTATGAAGTTGCATGAGCAAATTCAGGACAAATTCATTTTGCTGTTGAACAACGATTTTAGTGTTTCAAGCACCTTGTCCAAATTTTTTTCAAAATTGTTTCTAGCGAGAAAAGTGATGATTCTCATGGGAATATTTTCTTCTTCCATTTCGATATTTCGAGTTTCAACTCTTCTTTATATTTTATTTGTAATTTAGAGGCATGAGCGCATAGGCTCGGCTTGCTGAAGGTTATGCAAAACACTGCAGGCCCTAACTTCTCCATGACTAGATGGCGTTTTGAATTAGCTATTGTGTAGGGGTGTCAATGGATCAGGTTGGGTCGGGTCGGGCTTTCATGGTACCCTACTCAACCCGAAATCTACATAGTCGTGCTTGACCCCCCCGAGACCCTGTTCAGCATACACCCCTAAGAGAGGGTCGGGTCGAGCCGGGCCGGGCCAGGTTTTATTTATTTTTCAGCGAGAGAGAGAGAGAGTCGTCTTCGTCTCTCTCGGTTTTTCGCTTCTTCATTTTGACCCTCTCTCATCGGCTTCCACCTCGAGCCTCCGATGGCATCCTCTGTCTCCGGCATCTGCTCGTCTTCCCCATCCCTAAAGCCGAAGGCGACAGCAGCGAAGCCGTTGGTCTCTGGCCGGAGAGAGGCGGTCGTCTTGTTCTCGAGCGACGCTGCCAAGCTCGCTGTCGACCGGGCATCGTCTCTGTCGCTGCTGGCGGCGGTGTCACCTCGCTCTGTTGCGAGGGAGATACCGGCAAACTTGTCAACAATGAAGAGCAAAACCACTATTTATTACAGAAAAAAAGGCAAAAGAAAAACTAAGTCGAGCGAGTAGAACATCGATTTAATGTCCTACCATTGAGAGGAAGTGAAAGCGAAGTTGACCCGCCCACACTCGTCACCCTCCCACTTCAAGACCTGGCCATCGACGACGCCAGCGTACATGCCCCCACCGCTCGGGTCGAAGGCGAGGCTCTCGAGCCCGAAAGCTTCGAGGACTGGAACCACCTTGGAAGTGTGGAGGCGGTTGCGGGCTCCCGGGACGGGAGGTGAGTGGGGGAGATGATGGGTCGGCGGATTTAGAGCTAGGACGACGGCCGCGATTGATTGTGTCGTCGTGGCTTCTCCGAGCTTCAATGCCATGGCGCCTCTTTGCTTAGGTCTACCCTACCCTAATAATACCCGCATCTAAAAGCCCTATCAAAAAAAGACTAAGCCCAACCCCAAAATATTCCAAATTTTAGGGTCGGGTAGGGCCAATGTAGGCTTTTTTGACAACCCTACTATTGTGTGTCGGGTCAAGTCTACCGCTTTCGGTCCTTTCAAAATGGCTTGACATCAATTAGGAGACCCGAATGGTTGGACCATACAAAAGTCGACTTAGGGTACTTTTGGTAACCATTCTGTTCTCGGAAATAATTTCTACTGAAAAATAATTTTTTTTTATTCCATTCTTGGAAATAATTTCTAAGCATTTGAAGGCGTTTGGTAACTGTCCAAAATTTCTATTCCTGAAATAAAAAAAGAACATAAATGCATTTGGTAATAGTACAAAATTTCTTTTTATTACTAATATTTTGAATTATTTAATATTTCTTTATTTTTTTCCTTTTTTTCTTCTTCTCCTTCCTTGGCCCATGGCCAGGTTGCCGGCGCCGGCCACAGGCCAGGGCTGGCAAGGGCGAGGGCTGGACCCTCGTGGCCTGGGCGAGGGCGGTTCACTACTTGGGCCAAGGCTACTTTTGCAGCCTGGGCGAGGGTTGCTCTCGTCGGATCCGGCGAGGGCGGCTCGCGGCTTGCGGCTTGGGCGAGGGCAGCCCTTGCCCTCGCCGACCACAAGCTAGGAATGAAGAAAAAGAAAAAAAAATTCTTTTCCATTTCTGATTCTTGTTCCCATAATCAATAATAAATTTTTTTTTATTTTTAATTTTATTCCAAAACTGATTCTGGTAACAAATTTGTACCTGGAAACAAAAAATTTACCAAACGGATTTCTGTTCTTTTTTTGTTCCCGGGAATAAAATAATAGAATTAGGCACTGTTTGGCTGGTTATGACGCATTTGGTAATCATTTTGTTCTCGGAAATAATTTCCGCTCAGAAATGATTTTTTTTATTCCATTACCAGAAACAATTTCTAAACATTTGAAAGCGTTTGGTAACTGCCCAAAATTTCTATTCTTGGAATAGAAAAAGAACAGAAATGCGTTTGGTAACTACACAAATTTCTTTTTATTAATAATATTTTTAATTATTTAATATTTCTTTCTTTTTTTGCCCTTTTTTCTTTTCTTTTTTTCTTCTTCTCCTTCCTTGGCCCATGGCCAAGTTGCCAGGGCTGGCAAGGGCGTCACGGCCCTCGCTAGCGAAGGCGAGGGCGAGGGTGAGGGCGAGGGCTAGACCCTCGTGGCCTGGGCGAGGGCGGCTCACGGCTTGGGCGAAGGCTGCCCTTGTAGCCTGGGGGAGGGTCGCCCTCGTCGAATCCGGCAAGGGTCCAACGAGGGCGGCTCACGGCGTCGCCGACCACAAGCCAGGAAAGAAGAAGAAGAAAAAATTATTTTCCATTTTTGATTCTTTTTTCCAGAATCAAGGATCCACTTTTTTTTTTACTCTCGATTATGTTCCAAAATTGGTTCTCGGAACAAATTTGTGCCCGGAAACAAAAAATTTACCAAACGGATTTCTGTTATTTTTTTATTCTCGAGAATAAAAGAATATAAATGGGTACTGTTTGGCCGGTTACCAAACAGCCCCTTACCAAACAGGCCCTTAGAATCTCACGCCTCTTGGGGATTAAGATTCAGTCGTTTCACCACTCGAACGGCTCGTAAAATTATTAGGTTGAATTTTTAACTTCTACGTTTGAGTAGAGGTCGCTCAACTGACAGAGAAAAACGTCGCGGTGATGTAACTTCTCCAATGCATTCACGAGTGCAAAGAGCGCTGTCTTCGCCGATTGGTCACGTGGGGAGCTACACAATGAATGGCATGATCATCGAGCTTAATTATACGTTACATCGAATGGTCCTGGAAGAGACAGTGCGATGTGTCAATCTTGTTTTTTCCATCGGACAATGTTAACAGCTCATCTTTCGACAAAAAGCATAGAAGAGAAGATTCCGGATCTGGGATGGGGCAAGTCCTGCCGATACCGAGTGTCTGAGATCGTCGCATGATTGGTTTCTTGGAGGGTCCGCTGCGTAGATAAGATTGGAGCGCGGCTGCTGATTCCGCTCGTTGCATGCGCCCCCACCGGACGAGTTTTTACTCGAACTCTTTCATCATATGAGGCGGCAAAAAGTCAAATAATTTGATACGGAGTCTTCACCTATTTCGATTAATGACAAGTCAATTTTAAACTTTCTTAACATATATAGCATTTTTCAATTAAATTTGGACAACCCATGTGATTACTTAAATGAGAGTCTATGTAAGGCTTAAAAAGTTATACTACGTACGTAGCGAGTGATGAAATAAATCACACGAGCATGACTCGTGCACTCTGCTCTAATTACTGTTTGTGGTGATCCGTCTCGATTCACATGGATTAAATCCGGGAAAATTGTCCAAAAGGTCTTAAATCTATTGTACGAATGCCAATTCAGTCTTAAACCTTTCAATTCTGCTAATTTAGTCATAAACTTTTTGACAATTTGTCAATTTAATCTTAAACCTTCAATTGTATTAATTTGTCCTAAACTTTTTGAAGATTTGACAATTTAGTTCTAAATCTATTATTTAGATATTTGGCCGGAATGACTACACCGGCAAATCGTTAAAAGGTTTATGACTAAATTTGGTATTTTTGCATTCTCAGTCTGGTTTGGCTTGATTTTTCAATTTAGGTCGGTTTCGACACCTATGACTGCTCGGGTACGATTGGTCTGGTCAGGTTTTAGGATTTACTCTGGATCGGTGCCCACTCTTCACTCTTGGCATGACTGCGTAAAGTGAACAATATGCTTAAGCTTAATCAAAACTTGACGTCGTTAGAACTTCAATTTGACTAATACAAAAGATACGATTCTTGTAACATTCGAAATTATATCCGTAAGACAGATCAATTTGTGCTTTCAAAAAGCAAATTCAATTGCTCAGCAACATTTTGTACTTGCTCCACCCAAAACATATGGCAAGATCCACCTCGACTCGTGCCAAAACTCGATCGAACTCAATGACGACCGCTTCTGATGGGACAAAGTCCCGCGTGCAAATTGAGGGAAGGCAAGTTAAATTAGCAATTACCATTTCAAGCAATTCTCCACGTGCCACTTTAAAGTGATGTTTTAATGATGACAGAGAAATGGCCTCAAGTTACACATTTTACACGTGAAGAAATGCGAGGTTTCCAAGACGATGCCGATGTTCGAGGTCGTGACACCAACACGAGCACATGCTCCACGAGCTTCGTCTTCTCCATTGAATTGTACAAAATGGATTTTTCCAAGAGGACGCAAATGGTTTCTTTTCCATACACAAATGGACTGAATCCCGAAAGTCTATGAATTCAATGGGGATTATCAAAAACGGAATTGGTAAAGGAACGTAAAGTTGCATTCCCTTTATTTGACTAGACAATAGAGTTCTACTTTCTCCTTTTTTCTTGTGAGCGGTTTTCCATAGGCAAGATTCTAGTAAGTGTACATATTTTATTGGTAAAAAAAAGAAACCAATACAGACCAAAAAAAAAAAAAAGAAACCAATAATCTTTTTCAGTAACTTATTGATAACTCACAACACTTTTATGAAACCACTAACTATTTTGATAATTTGCAAATTATCAAATTTTACACTAATGCCAATTTTCATGTACATACATACTAACGCTTCGAATTTACTCACGCTTATATGAAATTAATTTTTCTTTTTTTTGCACTAATACAAAAGGTTTAGGACTTTTTTGGCACTTTTCCCCTAATTTAAATAAGCATAACTCACCCACTATTTTCCCCTTAAGTTATCATGTAGTATTGGTTTACTGACTCCTTTTCAAATTATATAGCAACGTCTATTTTATTTTTTAAATTTATCAACTTTTCTTATTATTTACAAATGTTTATTTGTGTTTCTTAGTAAGGTCTTGAATTTACTACATCCTTAATTACAATGACTTACCACTATCTATATGATGAAGTTACTAACTAGCTTTGGTCACCACCTCTCATTTTAGTTACTTACCAAAATTAATTTTCTTTTAATAATCAATTTTTTCTTATTTTTAACCAAAATTTATGAACACCGTTCAATTCCAACTTAAATTTACCTAACTCAAATATGAAACTCCCAACATTCAATTGTGCTATTAGATTTTCTCTGATTAAGTTATCAATTAGTTGGCTACTAACTGTCATTTAAATTACTTACCCACGCATATTTGTTTTTTTTTTTTTAATTTACGAACTTTTCTTTTTGAGGGGTGAGAGAAATTGGGCGATTGATAATTTTTTTTTACCAACATTTTTTTGACACTTACCAGCTCTTTCACAAATCTATCAGCACGGAAAAACTCAATTTTTTAGAAGGGCACAGCAGAACTTCAATCAAAAGCTAATAGAGTACCATTTAGATGGTTGGTTTAATGCTAAAGCGTTACCTATACTTTACGAGGTCATTAGACAGACTTGCCAACCTTCGGATTTTTGAATTAAGGCGGTGCAAAGTGGTAATGACTCAAACCGAACATTTCGTAGCAGAAATAAAACTTTATGATAACTTTTAGAGGAGATTGTTAGTGCAGGTCGCCTTTCCTCACCCTTTTAATTATCAAAACGGAAAGAAAAAAAAAACCTGGTAGATGTCTTATGACGCTTGAACTTCGCTAGCAAAAATGAATACGCTCGCGCTAGAATGAGGTGATTAAACCTTCTTTTAGGTTCTTCTTTTGGACAATTGTCTCGGCTGCGTTTAACTTTTCTGCTTTTCTAGATGATTCCTTAGCCGCCAGTCGACGCACGAAGCATGTACAAAACAACTTGCATAAAGTTGCAAAGAATATGAAATTTGGAAGCCTCTCACATATTGTATGCACAAGAAAATCCCATTAACCTCTTGAAAAAACACAAATTAACCCTTGTCAGATCGTAATCAACTGGGATATTAATTACATCGATCGACCATGATATTGATTGCCTGAAACAGCTAACAGGAGCCCGCCACCGCCAGCGAACTCACGGTGCACATCAAGGTGCATACAATATGGCCGTTGGACGTCGACGGCGCAAAACGATACAAGATGGAAATCGAATCGGAGCTGCCGTGAAGGCACGGCATGATGAAATTCGTTGCGGATGGATTGATTCCATTTTCGAATTCGTGCACGAGCCCAACGTGGAGTTACCCTGCGGAGCAAGGAGCAACTGTGGTCTTTCACGGCGACTCGGTACTTTGCCTAACCAAAACCGGACTTCCCAATTGGCAAACGGAACAGACAAAAGTCGAGGCCTCCATCACCGATCGTGACAAACAGACACTCATAGCAACTGCATTCATCGCTGCGGGGATCTTGGGTAGGGGCCCAGATCTCGTCCCCGACCTGGGTCCGTACGGATCGGGTCGATAGGATCCGTTTGATCGCGTGATCTGTGAAAGTTGAAGGCTGGGATTGCATCGCACGTCAGTGGCCCAGGGGAGGGTTTCTATTCGCAGTTGTGGGGGTTCTCTTCCGATTAGGCGACTGTCCTTCCCGCTCTTTACTTTCTTTCTGACCATGATGGAGATTGGGAAGGGACCGGATTTGGCATTGCCAGCTACGTATGCTTTTTTCTGGTTGATGGTTCAGGGAATGAAAAGTAGGAGACAGAGATGGAAATGGAATTGACATTGCGAAGAAGTGGGGTTGTCCAAGTCGGGACTTGGTCCGGACGGCGTCATAGTTCCGTGATGCCAATACGCGTGAGTACGAGTTGTCTTAGACGTTAAATCATGTGAGTTTCATCCGGATTTTCATGGAATACATCTCATCCTATGATATATGTGAGTTTAAAGTGCAACCAAGAGTATTTCTTAAAATAGGAAAAAAGAAATCTTACATGGCGTCTGGTCTATTGAACCGGGCTTATCTTGATCGTTGATCATTTGGGCTGCAAATAACCATTTAGATGAACCCATTTGGACTTGGGCATCCAAGTTCTTTTGCTTGAGTAATAATTTTAGACACTGCATGTGAATATCAATTCAAAATTTTATTAAAATAGGCAAACAATCCAAAGGTAGATGACTTCAATATAGAAACTCACTAGGATCGAATTTGGATGAGAAGAGTTCCGTGTATTCTTCGAATGTCATTGCTCGAGGCTATTTGCTCCAGCCACTAGTAAGTCATTCGATCAAATCGTGATCTATTTGAAAATTAGGATTACTAGGAAATTTGTGATTGTCTAGCTTTTACTCAGGCACCGGTGAGAATTCCCAAGGTTGGTAGCTAGTTACGAACACGCGAAGTAGAAAGACGAAGGTTCTTGATCATAGCAGGAAGAGATATGATGTGTTTTACGCGCCAACAACATTGGACTCTAGCGTGGGCTCGAGAGTTGAGACCGCTGAGACTCTGGACCAAAAAGCATGTAATGGAAAAGAAAAATAAAACTACTAATTCTTATCCAGCTCAAGCTCAACAAAAGGTAACCTCATCGTTCCAATGTCATGACAAGTTGACAACAATGGTGGACCTCAAGATATCAAGTCAATCCGCAAAGACAAATCTCAGTCCGCCGATCTCTATCGAAAATCCAGTGGACCGTCTTGTGATTATCGACTCTAGAGAAATAAATGAGAATCACGTAATCATAATCAGAACAATCATTGACCATCGAGACCTCGTGCCAAACCTCGAAAGCCGTTGCTAATTGGCAACATTAAGATCCGCCCAAAAATTCTCACGAGACGACAAAATGGAGCTCTCGTCGTCCAGCACGTCTTCCTTTTTTGGTACGTGGGCTACGCGTACTTGCCGCAGCTCGCGAGAGGTGCGGAGGGGGCCCCCCTGTGCTCGCAGGACTCAACAACAACGACGGATCTTAAAATTGCCGTTGTCGACCGCATCACATCCCGTCGGCATGCGCCCATCGGACGGTCCAGGAGTGAGGCAGTCGGTATTCCCTCGCACCACAAGAGGTTTTCATTGGCTATAGAATTTTTCATGAGAGGGTGAACAAACAGAAAATAATTTCACTGTTTGCAAAAACATTTAAAGATATAATTATTGTCAATAACAAAATATTTTTAATTGATCGATTATTTCGAGCGATACACGCGATCACTTTCAGGAAAATATTTTCCCAGTCGTTCATTTTCCACGAAATAAACAAAGCTTGGGTTTTAATCATTGACAATTTAAATGTTCGAGTTGCGGGCATTTACATGTGAGCAAAAACCACCGTCCTTATTTCGTGTTATTATGCAGTGTAAAAAATGCACGAAAACCTTGAAGTTTTGTAAGACTCGATACGAGCCAACCAATTTTCGAGATGTGAATATCTTAATTCCGCAGAATAAGATTTCATGTAATGTCCGAAATCATCGAACGGTAACGATGCCATGTACTACTTCCGTTAAAACGTGCCTCAACACGTGTATTTGCCAACCCGATATAAAATTCCAGCGCCAATAAATCTCAAAACTACCATAAAATACGAAGATATTGTACAGTTGTAAAGTATTAATTAAGCATGTTGAAATATCCGATTTCATATTTTTAAGTAAGTTTTGTTACCTTCAAAATAATGAACATGGATATTACGAATATCACGCGAACAATCGATAAAATCTTTTTCCGAAACACCATTTATTTATTTATTTTTGCATCACATTAATCCGTGCAGGAAAGTAAGGGCCGAAGTGCTCTCATTTGAGAAAATCGTGGCTATTCATGTCCGTAGTTGGAATTTTCTCCGAAAAGCATACCGTTTCCATCGCGAAAATGAGGGAGCCTAGGGAAATTTTTTTTTTTTTTGACGTCTCCGTCACCACCGTCAGCGTCAACGTCAACGTCAACGTCAACGTCAACGTCGCTCTCTCGCGTTGGCGCGATGGGACCCTCCGAGAAAGCCTCGCCGTGGGAAGTGACTTGCGCGGGACTCCCGAGGCACCTGTCCCTTCAACAGTACCGCTACTAATACCACACCATCCCCCGAGCGTCCAGCCATACACACACAAAAGGCACAGAACATCTCGCACCAGCCAAACGCCGAGAGTAGCAAAAACACCCCCAATGCGCTCCGCCGTGCACCGATCCCCACCGTCCGAGGAGATCACCTCCCTATTCCCACTCACTCTCTCACTTCGCTGACCAACCCGTCCACTCTCTCTCTCTCTCTCATTTGCGTCGTAGCTTCGCTCGGTCGCGTCCTCTACTGTCGGTTCTGTACTGCGAACGTATCTGAGGCCAGTCGCGTTGCGATATTACAAGATTCACTGATGGCGGTCGAGCTCGCTCGGGCTTGAGCTTTTGAACGAGGGTTGCGCTCCTCCTTCCGTCGCGCCATGGATCCACCCGCGGCGATGATCAACGGCGGGGCGTTCCCCGGCGGCGACACGGCGCCGTACAACCTGCCGGACTTCTGGCAGCTGCCGGCCGGCGGGGGACTGGGGCTCGGGCGGCCTCCGGTGGCGCGGGGCGTCGGCCAGTTCCTGTGCGGCGGCGGCGAGAATCTCGAGGCCTCCGGTGGTGATCCGGTGAGTGCGGAGGCCAGGTATGGCGGCGGCGGCGGTTCTGGAAAGCGGCGGGACGCGGAGGACGAATCGGCGGCCAGGAGCGTCTCGACCAGCAATGGCGTGGTATTCACTCAATCTGGAGGCTTTATTAGTTTCTATCGATCTATACCGGCGTTGACACGTAGTACACAGCTGGTTTCTGATTTGTTCAATTGCATTGACTTTCTTTCCACTGTGGTCGTAATCATCATGTGCTAATTTGCATCATGAAAAATGAGGGACTGTTGAGGGTGTTATAATTTCTTTGATTGCATCCAGTTTTGAATCGTTAAACAAATATGTTACTGTAGCAACTGTGATCTAGCTGTGCAATCGTCAGGGAAAACAGAGAGCGTGACTGAGAGAGGCTTGTTGATTTTGTGTCACTCACAAGGCGAAACTACTGATTAGAACATAGCTTCGTGAATTCCAATCGAAATTGTACAACCTCGGATTGGCAAAAGCTAAAAAAAGTTAAGTCTAAATCAGTTTCTTGACGTGACTACTCACTGTTCTTATGTTCTATGAACGCAGCCGAACTGTGCTGATGGCAGTAAACGGCTTAAAACTTCCGGATGCAAAGACGACAGTGGAGATGCCGAAGCAGAAGGAGAGCCCAGCTCAGCCAGACCTTCGGAAGAAAGTAAGCCGCAGCCAGAGCATCCCAAGCAAGACTACATCCACGTGCGAGCCCGGAGAGGCCAAGCCACGGATAGCCACAGCTTAGCCGAAAGAGTAACGTCTTTTCCCCTAAGATAACCCGTTATTATGTAGTCGTGAAGTTGGAGATTATGCGATTGAAATGACGAAAAATTATTTATTTTTGTGTATGCGATTATGTAGAGATGCATGTTATATTGGTAAAATATGCAGTGGACACAATCGACTAGATATTTTACTGATTGAAGCAAGTGATGGTGGACAGGCCAGAAGAGAAAAGATAAGCGACAGAATGAAAATTCTTCAGGATCTAGTGCCTGGATGTAACAAGGTATGGATTTTGCAATCCTTCTATATAAATTATAGCCAATCTTGTGCGGCCTAACTTACTGAAGTCTAAATGTGATGCGCGGTCTCTATTGATGCTTTCTTGGGTGAACATCTGTTAGGTAATTGGCAAAGCGCTGGTTCTTGATGAGATTATCAATTACATCCAATCGCTACAACGTCAGGTCGAGGTATGTTTTTTTTGCTTTATTACTGGCCCGTTGTATGGCAGATCAATTTCCTTCTAATATGGACTTGAGTGCTGCAAAAATTACTGATATTGCAGTTCCTGTCAATGAAACTCGAGGCGGTTAATTCAAGAATAACTCCCCCGATCGAAGTATTTTCTTCTAAAGAAGTAAGTCCAAGTCATTTTGCTCTTCTAAAGCACTTTTTAAATGCACTTCAGAGTGCTTCTAGTTGTGGCTCCGCTGGGAAACTTTCTGTAGGGAAATCTGCAAAGTTAAGCCACGGTAATCCAATAAAGAAAAAGTCTTCTTGTCGTAGCTTGCAGAACTGGACTTGTCACTATATTCGTATCTAACCCGCTTAGCAAGATCCGGAGATGATAAATAGTAGCTGCTCATCCTTAGCTTTTTCATTAAATCAAACGGACTCAGTTTTCCTTTCTATCTCTCGGAAAGAACTCTAATGGTTCTCACGGTACTAGGGTCTGTTTTCTCATACATACTGATACTGCCCAACTTTCATTTGACTATTTGTTTGGTGTTGACACATGCTTCTGCTGTCGATGAACTACTGAATCGGCTTTAGTTGCCACTGAAATCAAAAGACTTCTTAGTTCCTCATTGATGATCTTTCGAATGGGAAATTTTACTAAATAGTAGACGTCAGTTCATTAACAATAGGTGCTCAGTTTAGGAGAAGGGGATATACTTGAAACAAGTCAATTTAATTAGATATTGGCTTTATGCTGTTTTTCAATTCTCATATAATCTTACGTGCTTTCAGTTTGGTCAACAGCCATATGATACTGGCGGTGTGCCTTTCGGTTCACAAGCTCCCAGAGTATATGGTCGTGGTTCCTCGCCAGAATGGTTACATATGCAGGTTGGCGGTGGCTTCGACAGGACAATTTGATCTGCTGTATCCATGTCTACTAGGAATAAGAGTATAAGAAGCAAAGCTTCATCTCAATTCTTCGTTAGGTTGAAAAATATATCTCCCATGTGTCGATGGGTAGAAAAAGACGGTAGATCTCCATTTTCAAAATCGCCCCTTTAGCTGTGAAGCCTGTGATTGCTGTCTAGCAAGACTGATGAAGTTAGTATTCTTAGCACCGGCATTGATCTTCTAAATTAATTCTTTTTATCCAGCTTTTTTAGGCTTCCAATTCTCCCACCACACTAATGTGCAAATGGGCTGCCTGTAATGAATATCCTTCACTATATTGACATTCCTACTGTTTTACATCTTATTAGAACCCCTCCTATAGCAATTTTTCCATGAAGTGAGTGAAGCTTTGTTACAAGATCGAATCTCTCAAGTGCCTGCATGCTGTTAAATCCCAACACAATTTTCGGATCGGTGAGTGAAGTGAATTTTGTCTACTCTTGGCAATGAGCTGCACTATATGTCAAGTTGACAACATCAGCTAGAGTCTGGATTCCCAATTTTGTGAAACTTGGCAATGAGCTTCACTATATTGGCAACTCCCTTGCCACTGCCTGGGAAGTTTACACGGCAGTCCTTAAAACTTGAGCTTCCAGAGTGCTTAAAATCCTTGCCCTGGAGTGCGGGTTGTCTGTTTGGCTGAAATCTAATGCTAAAATGTGGTCGTGTCATCTCCGATTCCATCGTAAATGATTAAATGGCGATTCCCGAATGAAATCAGCTCATAGAATGGCTCAGAAGGGCAAAATCCATGGCTTGCGCACTCATGGAAAGCTGCAAACCAAGCACCCTCCGAAAGGGACTCGGATATAGAGAGCTCTAACCGTCTGTTAATGCGACAAATCTTCAGGGTTTACGCAAGAACAAATCTCACGTGCTTATTTTTGGAGCGATGCGACCTTTATTTTCCACGCCTACAATCTTGCTGTGCTCCAAGGAATGCTCTGGAAATGCCAATGAGGTGTATGAATTGAAACCACTTCTCTTTGCCAAGTGTAACGTATGTTAGTTTCTCCAACTCCAGTCCGAGCGTGCTCCGCACAGCGGATCTTGGCCCGAGACTCAGAGTGCGATGCTAACAGTGAGGATCCTAAAACAAAGAAGGACCACAGGCAGGTGAGAAGGGGACGCAACTCAAGTACACTATATTTCTCTTCTGTGAATGCGAAACATCGTCGTGCAATCTCTTGTCCGACATGCATTAAACGACAATCGAATCGCTATACCACCGCGAGGTGGTCCTATAAATCCGACTTTAATGAATGGGACTTTTCGACTTGAAGCTTTCGGGCCACCGGGCGTTGGGGTCCAGATGGGATGGGGAGTTGCGGGTAGGGATCGTAAGTCCGGGGTTGATCTAGGGGGAATAAGGAAATTAAAGCTTTGGGCAAATTCAAGATCGGTTCTACGCTCATGCAGAATCGTTTGCATAAAATCGTTTGGTCTTGAAATGCTGCTGCGATGACCACCTGGGGTGAGTGGAAGGGCTGGGGTCAGATCGCGGTTAAACCCTCCGTGGGGTTTAGGAGGTTCTTTCGACTTGTTCGAGGTCCGGCTAATGGACCCGTGCTACCGGGCCTGTCGACCCGTCCTTGCTAGTCTCTCCACCCATTAACGACAACTGGGCGACGCCATTTCAGACCGGGCCTTAGTCACCTTTTGAGGCAAAATCACTGACGTGGGCCGAGCCCCACTCTCTTAGGGTTCTCTTTTCACCAAATGCTCGTTGTCAGTCAAAATACCCCGCTCTTGCTCGAACCCAGCTCCGCTTGCTTTCATAAAAAACGACAGAAGGAGGGAGGAAGCCCGTGGAAACGACGACGTCGTTTCTTCAGCATTAATTCCAACGGAGAAGAACAGAAGAAGAAGAAGAAGAGTCTTCTTTGACGCCTTTTTGGGATTTGGGCCGTTAACAGCGAAATTCCCCTTCAACGCCCCAAACACCAACCGCCGCACGACCCCACCCGCCACGTCGCCCCTCGCGCGCGCCCGCCGCACCCGACCCGACGTTTCTCGTCGCACGCGCGCTGGCGGGCGCGTGAACAGCAACCTGCCCAGCTCTCGGAAAACGAAAAGGGGGAGGGCAAAAACAGCACAAGTAACCAAATTAACAATTACGCGGTTTTTAGGATTTGGGAAGGGGAAACCGAATCGAATTAAGGAATTTAATGGGGGGGCGAGGCAAGATACTAAAATCGACGAGAAAGGAATAATTTTGAGAGGGCTCTAACAAAAACAGCGAAATCGTGGGAGAGAGTCGAGAAAGGGCAAAAAGGACAAGAAAAATCAAGTCAAATCGGAACAGGCGAGAGAGAGAGAGAGAGCTAGTTGAATTTATTTATTTTATTTCGCGTGCGCGTATATGCCCGCTGCATTCCTCTGTTTCATCGTCGTCGCGAGTTTGTGTTGGGAGGGGGCAGGAGCTCTGATTCGGCCGGTCGCTTGGATTTCCGCGGGCGCTTCGTGGATCGGGCGCGATTCGGTTGGAGGCGGGGAGAGGAAGATGAACGGATGGGAGAGGGTGAAGTCGTCCAAATCCAGATTCGGCCGCTACTCGCACTTCGGCAGCGACGACCGCGCGCCGTTGTCGCGGACGGTCCGGCTCGGCCACGTCCAGCCCCAGGCGCCGACCCACCGCACCATCTTCTGCAACGATCGCGACGCCAATCTGCCGGTGAAATTCAAGGTCGGTCGCGTTTCGTTCCGTTTCGATTCGTTCCTGTCCGATCCGGTCTGTGTTAGGTCGCGAGATTTGTGAGGTGAAAGCGTGAGCCGGGGCAAATTCGTTTGGTGGAGAGGCGGCGGGAGCGGCTCGGAAACGGAGCTCGAGGGTACTGAGTTTGACGCGTTCGATAGTTTTGTTTTTGTCTCCTTTTCTCTTTGTCCCAATATCGCGGAGCGCGCATGAGTCGGCCAGTCATGGATTGAAGCTGTGCTGTGGATTTTGTCCTGTTGTGATGGGAAACTAGGCTTTTCTGAGTTTTTGGTGATGAGTAATTTGGTTTCTCTCGAGGTGGAGATGAGTCTTTTCTACGCTTAATACTGTAGAGTATGATTTCGTGAGAGTTGGTGCTATTGTATGTTGTACCGGTGAATGGTGTAGATTAAGCCATTGGTGTAGCTGTTGAACTATAATGTGATTTTGCTGGACTCACGATAAGGGAATTATCGAGGGAAGCAAGTCATCTGTTGATATGCACCTGCAGTTTGAGCCATGTGAATTTTAATCTTTCTGCCAGGGAAAAAAATTAAATCTTCTTTATGTCGATTTGTGATGAGTGTCATCTGAGAAAGAGTCATTTAACAAACTTGAAAAGTTGTTCACCGGTTTGCTTTAATGTACTTGTCGTTTCTCGAACTTTGTTTCTGTTATCCATGATTGTTAGCAAGCCTTCTGTTGTCTTTCTTTTTGGTCAGTAGCCTTCTATTGTTTGAGAAGATGGACAATCAGTGAGTCTGTTTTTAATTTAATTTTTATTTTTGATGAAAGAGTAGACAAGTAATATGCATGATGTTTACTAGTTCATCCTGCTAGAGGCCTTGTTGCCTGACTGCATATTATGTGCATGTTCAGTCATTTGGCAGTAGAGGGAACCCTCTATATTTCCATGCCTGCCTGCACAAACATGTAATGTTAGGAAATTATGAGCTTTTACAATGGTCTTGATGGTTCCCATCCTTGTTGAAGCTGTTGGAATTCTCATCAGTAACCTAAACTGCATTTTTATTGGTTTTTTATACCCAAATGATTGCATCACCTTAACTGCATTTTTGTGGGCCTCTTATGAGCTGAGAAACGCCACACAGTTTGATGATCCCACTTGTAATCGATTGCCTTTTAAATCCAATTTGTCTTCCTTCTTTTTCTTTTGTCCTTCCTTTTTTCCCCTGTAGAATGCATTTGAAAGCTCAGAAAGCTTACAAACTCATATGTACCAATGATTTCCTTTCATTACTTAAGTAAACTCTTATTTTGAAAATATTTCACTTGATGATGCTTCTTTTACTGTAGATTAGCTCAATCGCTTGTCTCTTCCCATGGAAGATTAATTTTCTCGGTGATTTCACATTGGACCCAAATATAGAAGCTGTATTTCGATGAACAAGTTGTTACTTTATTTTCGCTATATAGAAGAACTGAAACCTGCTCTAGCTTTTTTTTTATGGCTATCAAAGTTTTTGGACCTTATTAAGTTTCTTTGAGATGGACAAGAGCCCTTTTCAAGATAATTGTTCTGCTAATTGATTCATTGAAAGGGTTCTATGAGAATTTATCTAGAGGCTATGGTCCTATCTTGCTCTCTTGCTGCATTTATGTTTATCTTAGATCCAACTGGCGACACTAATATTTGAGCTTGGACTCTCCAACTTGACCAGAATCTTTATGTTATATCCAATCTATTGTAATAGAATTTCCATAAGTTTTGATACATGAATGAGATTATCTGCAGTTTTCATTTCATTCTATAATTTATGGAGCTTCCAAGGGTTCTTGCTCTCTTGTTTTGTCTTTAACCGCCATGTTTTCAATGTTAAGGGAAACTCAATATCGACAACCAAGTACAACTTCTTCACGTTTATACCTAAAGGGTTGTTCGAACAGGTAAATCAGTGTGAAATCTTTTGTGCCATAGAGTTTATGGTATCTTATATCCATTGCTCATTTCGTAAACGTCGTTTTGTGTTGGTGCATTACTGGCCATGTGTCATTTCACTTGTGTAGATGTCTGACATCATATATTTCATCAAATTGACAGTTCAGGCGGGTTGCTAACCTGTACTTTCTCATGATATCAATTTTGTCGGCGACACCTTTCAGGTATGTTAAAATATTCTTAGAACGTACTGGCCAGGCTGATTGTATGAGTGAGCATTGAGACTAGCGTACTCTTGGGTACCATCATTTTAGAGCTTTGCATCTGATTTCCAATCATGTCTAAAGCTGTCATTTGGTATTTTCTTTGTCATAACTATGATGGTCTTGTGGTGTTCATTCACTTTCAATTGCACTTATTTGCAATTACGTACTCCATATATTACACATTCATAGCCTGTTTCTAATATTCTGTACATTGTGTAACCTGGTAGTTATTTTCTTATGGTACTATGGTCTATGCCAATTCATGCCAAAAAGTGAATATGAGGAGCAGAAAATGAAGAACCTGGCTGGTGATAGATAGAATGGAGTGGACGTGCCTTTCCTTTTTTCCGAGCAACACACTTGAGAGATTGAACTTCAATTTGGAATTAATGTTATGTCATAAAAAAAATCTTGGAAGCTCAATCTCTTATGGATT